AATATTGCAGTGGATAGAGCTCGTCGAGATCTACTTGGAGCCAGGAAGTCCTTAGTTGGAGCCAGCTTCACGGCGAATATTTTCAAGAAATACTCGAATCCTGACCTAAGATATCCTACGTCAAAATCATTATGATTCATACTTACTTCGTACTCAAGCAAATTCATATTATCGATATATTTATAGTATTGTGGCTGTTGGAAATTTCCAAGCGAAGTTACCCAGGTCGATCAAAACGGACCACCGTAAACCGGCGTAACATTATCGTATTCTATAGAACATACGACCGTATTACTGCCTCTGTTATACGGGGAAAATACGGCACATAAAACGGACCGTATTTGTATCCTATACGACCGTTTACTGATCGTTTTCTTCGACTGGGCTAGAAATAAAGTGCGGCTGCGTTGTTTGATGATATAGCTGTAAAGAAGAACGAATAAGAAAAATTTGCTTCGTCATGCATATATGACGAAAGTAATAGATGATTCTTCGTTTTGCGTAGAAATAAAGCAAATCGCAATACCATTCAGTAGGTTCGCTGTATGGTTGCCAAACATCGGCCATGATTTACCAAATAAAAATTCTTTAGTATTTTGCAGTAATGTTCTCAGATAAACACAAATATACTTTTTAAAAATTGCATCACATTATCTTCCGTTAATTTAGACAACTAGTGACTCCAATCGGAAGGTTCTCAGCGTGAGCTTAGTGACGGTGTCACGAGGAGACTGGGAGAACGGAGCCCCAGATTTTTTTCAAAATTTCCAGACAGAATCGATAATCTTTTCTGACATTACGGTAAACCTATTATCACACTGCATTTGAGAGTTAACATCACCTACCAAGATCAAAATTCCTGGTGTCGCCACTAGTTGGACTACAAAGAGGTCGATGACTAATACATTTAATTGGAAAGCTTTTTTATGAATAAAACGGTAGAGCTTTGCTGAGACCAATAAAAACTTTTCAAGATTGAGGCACATGAGTTTCGTTCTTCCTAGGGATACCGCTGTCAGGTTTGCCAATTAGGAGGGCTAAATATTGCCTATCACAAGTCGAATCCTTACTCCGAATTTTTTTGCGTTTTGTTTCTGCATCTTATGTAAAAGTTAAGCCAAAGAAAATAAATATTAGAAGATTGTATTTCTGTGATGGACACTTACAAATTTGTTAATATGTGACAAACTAAAGAGTTCAGTCCTATTATTTTTTCCTAGCAGAAAATAATTAGATAAAGAGTATTAACATAAAACCTGTGAATCACATGCAGAAAAATTATTTCAAGATACTTCTATTCTGAAGAAACCCCATATACCTTATTTATCAAGAATTTTAATTCGATTTCATCGTATTTCGGTGCTTTTTAGGTTCTTTTCTCTCCCTTCTATTCAAGTATGAAGTGTGAAGGTCCTTAAAAATATTTTATCTAAACTAACCTATATTTCATCGACTACATTTTTTATCTTCAAAGTTAACAATAAATACAGGATGTACGCATATTATACCTAAACAAAGAACATAGTTTTCCTTAATATTTTTTCTTTTGCATTAATTTTCGTTCTCTTTGATCTTTTGTGTCCTAGAGAGACAGGCGTGTCGATATTTGTACAAATTTTCTTCTCAAAAGGAACAAACGTACAGATATTTGCGCTATCTAAATTCAAGACCCATGGTCGTATAGAATCTAAACCTTCGATGCATTTTTATCCAAACTTTAACTGTTTAAATATCTTTTCAGATTTTTCTGTTTGGTTAAAACTATTCAGAAAAACCTTTCACTCAAAAGCATGAAATTTCACTGAAAAATGCATAAAAAATTGAGATTTTGTACAAAATTTGATCTTAAATTAAGATAGCGCAAACATATGAAAGTTTGTTATTTTTGTGCAGAGAATTTGTACAAAAATCTGCAAGTCTATCTGCCGGTTCTTTTCATGGTAATTTGAATACAACTTAATCGTTCAAAGATCGCCGAGAAAGTTCCTTTTTTTCCGTTACGTATATTGATCGTTTTATAAACAAAATCCATTTTCTAACCCTGCAGAAGTTGAAACTATGAGTTTATGCTATTCTAATAGTTTTCATTAACAAAACAAAAAAATTTCCATTGATTCATCTCACACAATTGAGAATCAAACAGTTGCGTGAATGCTTTGTCGTAGTTTGGTCGCAACGGAAAATGGTGAAAGAGAAAAATTGAATGAAAATAATGTCCAAATCGAAAACTGTCAGCAAAAGAGATGTCTCCAGTGATTGACGAAATTTGCGTATCTATACTCTATCTTGTTTTTCTTATTAATTTACTCGTCTGAATTTTAAACGGTGATAAGTAATATCTGATATAGATAAACTAAAGCTGACGACAAAAGAGCTAACGAAATTCTTGATATAAGACATTGTGATGGCCCTATAACTCTAGTGGAATATTTAGATGAATTGTCATTTGTTGTTGCTAAATGAAAAAAATGATTTTTTTTCTCTCTTGTCTTATGCATATTCTTTGTTGCAATACTAAATTCATTTCATAAGATAAATACGATGATGGCTCGCTAGTTATACTCTTTTGAAACAATTTTCGACCAAACTACAGCCAACCGATTGAATGGTATTACTTAAATTGAGCCTATGAAAAAATTTGAATTTCACACTAAACTAGTCTGTTCATTATTTACTCTTTTTTGTTCGACAGTTATTATTACGTTCTGCACTGAAAAAATTATATTTCTAAGTAAATATCGGTGCCCTCTTCAACTTCTCCGCTCACACTCTAGATCTTCGGAGCATACTATGTAGTCTGATGGGTATAGTCTTTTTGGAGAGCCGTATCATCGCTTCTCTTCCCTTCATATTCATATCACCAATTAATATTACATAATTTACCTGTCACGAAAACGATGCGACATCTGTACTCACGCATTCGTAATATATAAAGGCGTTACGAATAATAACTAATCATGCGAGTACAGTTTTATGTTATACTCAGCAATAATATGAATCAAAGATAAACAAGTAACCTTCAATCATACATTTTCGGTTCATTTTTATTAATACAATCATATCGATCAGATTCCAGAGTCGTTGAAAATCATGTACGAGTACTATGATATAGAAGAAAATACTCTGTATGTATTAAATACAATAAAATTTGTCTCATTGATACCAGTTTTGCTATCTGTTTTTTAGTGGCACGACTCTAACGTCGGGGACATGCACATTAACGAAAAATGATGAAAACTTAATTGGAATAAGTCTTGGTGGTGGTTATCCATATTGTCCTTGTTTATTTATTGTACAAGTATTTGACAATTCACCTGTATCAAAAGATGGATCATTAGCAGCAGGTTCAAACTAAAAATCTATTTTTTTGCAATTTTTTATGCGTGACTTAAATAGGCGATGAAATTGTATCAATCAATGGTGAATCCGTAAAAGGTCGCACGAAACATGAAGCAGCTAAAATGATTACATCTGCTAAAGTTGTGCTTTTGTTTTTATTTTTAACTTTATTACTATTATAAATTTATTTCCAGGCAGATGTAACCATTCATTATAATAAATTACATGCTCAACCGCAAGAAGGCAAAACATTAGATATAAGTTAGTGCATATTTTTTGTTTCGAAAGTCTTCGTCTCATTTTTTATTGAATTAGTTTTAAAAAAAGTCAAACATCGTATAATCGAAGCCATGAGTTCAACAACTGCTGATGCGCTTGGTCTTAGCCGTGCTATTTTAGTCAATGGTTAAAGATTAGTAAAGCATGTTTCTCTTTTTCAATCGTCTCTCTCCTAGATTCTTTGGTTAACAAACTCACTGAAATTGAAGCCATGGCAGATTTATATCGCGGCCTTATAAAACATACACGTAAAGTGCTTATAGGCATATATGACTTAGCTCATATCCACCGTGATTTTGGTGATACATTTGCTAACATTGGTGCTCGCGAACCACAAGTGACAGCATCACAAGCGTTCACAAAATTCGGTGATGCTCATCGGCAAATGAATCAGCATGCTATGGCACTGCTTGCAATTGCAGCACCAGTATGTATAAGACACAAGAAAAAAAATGCTGCTGATAGTTTGTAATTAATAAAGCATTTTAGATGGTTGCTGATTTCAATACATACTTAACCAAAGCAATTCCTGATACTCGATTGACTGTTCAAAAATATGCAGATGCTAAATTCGAATATTTAGTAAGTTGTACAATTTCTAATAATACTTTCGATGAGTCTAAAAACGCCGGGTAAATCTGATCAAACTGAGATAGACGGCGTTTGTTTAAGGAAAGAGATTGTAGATTCACTGGTTCGAATCGAATTGTTGAAAGACTTGTACCTTGCTAATTCTTGACAAGTTTTTATTTAATTTAGTCTTATTGTTTGAAAGTAAAAGAAATGAATGATGAAGAACAATTCTTTAACTCACAAGCTGAACTGCTCTATCGAGTGGAGTCAGGAAATTATGAATATCGGTTTGTAGAAATATAGTTTATTTTAAATTTTGAAACGAGAAATTATCTATCTAGAATAGTACTTCGATGTCGACAGTTAGCTCGTGATCGCTTTGCTAAAATGCGTTCAGATGTACTCGTTAAATTAGAACTACTTGATCAAAAACGAGGTTTGTATTTCTAATGAAAAAAAAATTATTCTTCATTATAATTTTTCTTTTAGTCCAAGACATAGTTTTTCAATTGCATCGTTTAATGGCCGCCCTTGATAAATATCATAGAGCAAGTAACGAAATAATGCAAGAAGTTGACATATTTCCAATTGCAGTTGATATTGCTTTGCCAGTATTTTCCAAAAACGAAAATGATGATCAAGATCAAGATCAAGATCAAGATCAAGATCAGTTCGTTGATATTCCTCACCAAGTGAATGAAGATCCAGATGCGCAAGAAATTTTGGATGATTTAGAACTACTTAAAATCGGAGATTAACCGTTTAAAAATGTTGCTTATGTTTCTTTTTATTCATGTCTTTCAATATCAATATGCGATAACTCTTTTTTATTGAATCATGTCTTCTAAAATCTTAATTCAAAGCAGCAATGCTCAATACCATTGATAGTGCCGAAAATGAGTATCACGGAACGGCATCTTATCGAGTAAAACTATTTGATATATAAAGATATTTTTCGAGGCCAGCAGGAAAGGAAGATCTATGATAATATTCTCGTATGTAATTGAGAAAACAAAATTTGAGAGTATTTTCTAGCTTTCGGCTAAAGAATTCTAGATTGAAGGAAAGTTTCCATAGCCAACGTGAGAAGAATAGATATAATCAGTTTACTCCAAAAACTCGACTCATACGATAATCGTAGTTCATGATTTTTAAGAAATTAATTTATTTTAGTATAAAAATCTGTTTCTAACTTTTACAACAAATCGAACAACTGTTTATGAAGGTTTAACCATTCGTATTTCTTTTGACGCGTTTCCTACACTTAACTCGTTCTTATCAACATAAACAGCTGAGAAATATTATCGTTCTTCCTACAAATGGGCTGATGCAGTTGTTACGATGATATTTGCATAGGATATTTAGTGTCACTGAATCTCAATAAAAATTGACCGACTTACACATACCACGTAAATATTTGTGAAAAGCCAGACTTATATTGTTGTGAATTCCCTTGATTTTTGGATACGAACAACTCAAATTATTGTTCGAAAGAAAGAAAAATTAGATTTCACATTAAATAGAACGATGAAGAAGAAGAAGAAGAAGAAGAAAAGTCAATGTCTATTTTTAAGGTTAATAGAAGGTAAAATCGTAATTGAATTGCGAAAAAATAAATATCTGCTCTAATGGTAGAGAAGAAAGTATAGCCAGGGCAAACTCAATGATCATGATGAAATTTGAAGAGTGCAAGAAGACGTAAGAAAGCTGAACATGTGCCAAACGCGCCCATTTGAATGAAGGTCAATGTTGATGCCCATAAATAACCACGTGGTAAATAATTAACAGCAACCATAAATTCAGTACCATCGCGAACAGTTGCTAACACTGCATTACGCGCGGCAGTCCATGGGATAAATGATTTTTTCCTAAAAAAATAAAAGCTAATTTAAGAACAAAAGCAAAAGATTCCGTTCACTTACTCTGCTTCCTTTTTCTCTGGAACATAACTTTGTTGTACCATATATTCTAAAACAACATAAGCATTCCTAAGAAAATGAATGAGAAATATACATATTTTAAAAGAAAAAAAAAGTAAGAAAGAAATTTTCTACCAGAGAGCTGAAGTAAGTAAAGCTGTGGCCCAGAAGAAATTTGTATAAAAATCCCATAATTTAGCATCGACATCTAACATTTTCATTTCTCCAAGCCAAGCAATATGTTCTGACGGATAGTAACCAAGCCATGCAATATAATGGAGACATTTCAAAAAACGAACAATCCAATTTCGTTCCTATAGAAGAAGTTTGAGAGAAAAGCAACGTTTCTCGTTAGATTTATTTTTAATCAAGAAAAAACAAAATATGAAATATTTGCTTACTCCAGGTCTCAATTCGTAAGTGAACAAATCTCGAAGAATAGTCAAGTCATCGTACAGACGTAAGACAACACGACAATCTTCAAGCCGTTTAAAAACACGCTGTAGAGATCGATGTAAATTTGATTTTCGTGGGTAAAAACCACTCAATAAGCAACAAAAATAAAGCGTAAATGTAATGGCAGCATCACGCCCTTCGTAACAATCGAGAACATCAACCGTTTGGCTTATGTAATTAGTCATTATAATAAGTATAAGTTAATACCACCGTCGACTGATCAGCACACGTTTTATAAGTATAACAAGAATAGTATTCTTGTTTTTGCTGTATAGATATTATTTTTGAGGTTTTTCCTTCTATTTCTCTCAGAAATAATAATGTATGTCTCGTTCTTTTTTTTTGTCTTCTATCGAGATATATGCATGGGTTGTCGGCGTCGTGATAATGTTTAATATGTTCCGTATACTACTCCAGTTTTCTGCGGTTGCTGTTTTTATTATCGTCTTGATAAATATATAGCTCCTATATATACTGATGTATAGGAAGGAAAAAAACAGCTAGCGATCTCACATACGCAGACACGACCGATGCAAGCAATAGCAAATATGAATACGAAAAAAATTAACTATTTTTCTCTCGTTAGTTTTGTACAGACATTTTCCCAAGTAACAACTGCAATGGGAAGTGACTTTTTTTGTGAATCGTTTTAGATCAAATCATTTTCTTGAACACAAACAAAAATAAAAGTAGCCAAGCACAACGATTACTATGAAGAAAAATGTCTACAATAATCAAAATAGCACATGGGAATTCAATTAAAGTATCATCTTTGTAGTCGACAATTTGATTGGTTACGTAAAGACAATCGTTGTACATCGTATCTGTACTTCTGTTATTTCTATTATTGTTGGTGACGTGATAATCAATAGAATCGCAGCTATCAGCAATACAATGAATTGGTTAAAAACGTATCGCAAGCAAATAGACGACCATAAATAGACTCTATAATGATATAATACTTCGTGAATCAATCAAGCTTATCTTTTACGTCCATGTTAACCAGTACTAAGTGTGATAATGACCTTTACAAATTTTTATGAGTATTTAAATACAAATTATAAACATGTTGTTTTGTTTTCTTTACAATCAAGAACTGAAATTTTATATATTAAACCAAAATCTAGGATCATCAAAACTCTTCATATCACATTATAGCGTTGATAATTACGAATTTTAATCTCAAGGATAAATACTATCGATTGATAAATGTCACGACAGCAGTGAAGATTCCCAATATGTTTGTCTATATCTTTGTTTTGATCGTAACATTAAAGGCTCCGTTTAATCCGAATTTCTCTACAGGTCTTCTTTAGAAAAATTATATTTTTTATTGTAAGAATAGAAAATTTTAATTGGCTAGAAATAATTAAGAAATGAACGATGAAGTATCAAATACAAAATCATGTCTCGATTATGGAAGATCAAGCCTCAAGCTATCTTCGCGTAGATGAACCTATAATTTTTTTAATTTCGTACTAAGAAGAGAATCAAAATTTGAACACAAAACGAAAAGATTTCGGAATCAGTTTTGTTTCAATTATCGATATCTATTAGCTCCTACTGTGCATATATTTTCCTTTTCTCTTATGTCATTAACTCGTGCGCATATAATGAGCAGAAGGTGATGTTATTCGATCTACTCATTAATTATAACTGTTGGACATTGGCGTAAGAGAAGAGAACAGTTGGTGTGAAGAAAAAGCAGAAGAAGAAAAAAATTGAATTACATAAAAACGAATAGTCACCAACTTGTTAATTACAATACAATTGACAGTAGAAAAGAAACAAACGTATTCCTTGTTCGCTTGGACGCATATTGCATGTTTTAACTTCCAAGTCAATGTCGGTATTGTGTTTATCATAAATCACACATTGAACTGCTCTATATATAAATCATGTTCAATTGTTTGAATAACATACAGTTATGCATAGATTTTATTTTTTGTTCATCGTGCTTTTCAGGTATGTAAAAGATCATAACATTGGCGTTTATTCAAACGATGATTTCTACATTTTTAGACCCGTAGAAGGCTTCTATCTTCAAGATGATTCTGAAGGTATGCATGATGATTATTTTTTTCTCTGTGAGTACTGATGGAACCGATATATTTTAGAGTTTATTGCTGAGCAAGAGCCATGCAATGCTGGTTGTAAAAATGGTGGTCAATGTTTTCTATCATCGTTTTGTATATGTCCAAAGTAAGTTAGGAATCAGAAATTTGTATCGGAATATATTATTTCGATTTCAGAGGATTTTCTGGAAGATATTGTGAAGTATCTCTTAACGAACAGTGTGGCACATTTCCATCAATGACAACTATGGAAATAGACTGTGTCCTATGTATTTGTTATAATGGTTTATTTATGTGCGATACGCAACCGATTGGTCTTTGTCGTAAGTTTTATTTTGTTTCTATATAGTAAATTTATAAATTTATTTTTATTAGATCGTAAATCTGATATATTTTTAACTCGAACAATGCGTATAAAACGTGCCCTTAAAATGATTCAATATCGTTTCAAAAATATAAAATCATTTGAACCAATGAAGAAGTTCAATGTTACATTAGATGATGATACTCAACTTATTCATTTAAATGGCTATCGAATCGTACTAAATCATTCTTCGTCTAAGCTATCCTCCTATTTCGTTATATTCCTCTGTTTATTGTCTATTTATTGGTTGAAATAATGTATTTTTCTTATTTCTATAACATTGATTTTTAGAAAGAAATTAATTAAAATTCGCTTGTACAAATAAAAACAGATTGTCTATGAAATAAATTCATTTTTAACGAGACTTAAATGTTGATCAATATCTTGAACTGATTCTGATGAGACTTCATTTTTCTCTTACGTGCATTCTAAGTAGTCACTATCTCAATTGTACCAAGCTAATGTGCCATCGTAATACATGCTTGAAGAATAACTCGAAAGAATATTTTTACTTAGTTAACTGTATGTTGAATGTTGAACATCATCAGTACGACTTGATGTCTAATATTGAAAGAGCACATTTTATATTTAAAAAAAGTTATAGATTCGATTATTTTTGTAAGCTTATACCACAACATGGTGCGTTTCAGGAGATCAAATGTGCCTTTCGGAAGTTCTGTGCAAACTTTTTGTTTGCTAAAAACAATTCAAATGTGCGTATAGAGGAGTGTAGAGTATTGGGTTGAGTGTCAGCGAAAAAAGAAATGCTCTGAGATAGACACGCGCCAATATCCAGGTTCTGAAAAGAGAAACCGAAAAATTACTATTCAAGTTTGACTCTTAGTTCTATTTCTTTCACAGTCGCTCAACACTATGGGTAAGTGATAGAACGCTGACATTCAAATACTTAATTGGATTAATATAATTGCTGACTCTCGATCCAAATGAATTGCATCAGAATACGTTAAAAAACATGAATTAATGTTGATACTGATTGGTTACCAAAATTGACATGAAATACCTGCTATATGCGAACAACTTTATTTGCGTGAGGATATTAGTATGAATAAGCTACAGTCTGACACCCACACCCCGTAAAGGGGTATTTTCAACAAAGTTTAACAAAAAAAGTAGAGAAAATCTACCTTTGCTGATGGAAAAAATTGAAAATTTTCAATTATTGGGGGGGAGGGGGTTACACTGCCCCGCTCCCGCGGTTCCTGGACGTGAAGACAAAGAGCAGTAAATACGATAGAATGTGTTGGAACGAATATTCTCCTTATAACACTGTGAAGCTGGCCGGACGACCAATATAATATGCCCGACTCTTCCGGCAATCATGATACGGGCAGAAAATACCTATACCAATCCACAAAATATCATAATTTTCCCCTAACAACCATTAAAAAATCCATCATGAAGATACACAACCGTAAACACTAATAGTAATACCAATACTACAATCAACTCCTAGAAAATCTGTGCTACATTCGAAATAGAATCAATCGATACAGCTAGTTGAGGTGGTCATAGAAATGATTCTCACACATTCGAAAAGCTCGTCGTGACCTGTCACCAATTCAGAATACTGTATTAGTAGTACTAATACTAACGGTAACATGATGCAATAGTCATGCCTACATCGTTTGTTTGGAAGATAACTACGGAAAGCTATTAGGGTCCGCGTCAATGAAGCACCTACACTAATTGACACTGTCATCCTCACCCTTAAGTATTCATCATCAATTAGACCTACTAGTGTATAAGTGCTCTGAACTTTAATAATAACTATCGATTTTTTTTTCATCTTGCGTGCTGATACATTATTTTTGTTCTTTTTTGGACTTTTTACTACACAATAAAAGCGATCATAATTAGTGTGAGTCCTTGTTGTTAATTATAAGAGTAATTCAATCAATTTTTCTCATATATCGTTGTTAGCAAGACTGTCATTTCCAAAATTTATTTATGCCACAGTCCTCTTTACTGGTGCTTTACGGATCCTTGGATATCTATTGCTTCATGCATTGCTCAATAGAATCACTATTTTCTTCCTGCTAAATGATTGTGTGCGGCTAGCTTCGCTCTGGTCAAACAAAATTGTATATTTCGAGTATCTACAGTTAAATTCTTGTATTTGAATTTATAAAAATGCCTGGTGGGTTAGACTCTTCTAACTTAGCTCTAATAGTCATTGATATGCAAAATGCTTTCGCATCTATGGCACAGCCTATCCTTTCCGAACTAAATGATACTATACGAAGTGCACGTCGTGCTGGTATACCAGTTATTTTTACTCAACATGGTCATTCTGATCCTGAAAATGAAGAAAAAACATCTGTTTTAGTTCATTGGTGGGGTGCATCAGAATCAATACGAAAAGGTTCTCATGATTGGAAACTTCTATCGGGCCTTGATGTAGCATCCAATGAAGTCGTTCTTGATGAAAAAACTACATATGATTCATTCTATGGAACACGATTGAAATCTCTGCTAGATAAACAAAATGTTGATACAGTAATTATTTCAGGTGTTTTAACTCAATTTTGTTGTGAAACAACAGCACGTTCAGCATTTGTTCAAAATTATGATGTTATTTTTTTATCCAATGGTACAGGACCGCCATGTCCATCAACACTTGAAATCATATCTTTCGGCTTCGGAAAAGTAATAACATGTGCTGAAATGCGTACGAGACTTGAAAAGATCAAGAAAGACAGTTTGAAATAAACCTCACTTTTCTCTGAGTTTGTTTTACCTATTCTTTTTTTCGTCATGTTCTCGGTTGGTTGTAAATATGATGAATAAGTGGCACGAAAAAGAAAAAGAAACAGTATTGCAAATCATATAATGCATTTATTTGATCAGAATTTGTTGTTGTTGTTGTTGTTGTCGTTGTTTTTTTTGTCTCTACTACATGACGTCCTATTTAAAAAAATCTGTTGTAGCGCTTGCATCGGCTAGAACTTATATTGCTCAATGGTCAGCAGAACATGTCTACGCTGATGAAGCACTTATTATACCATTTCCCACATTAGCTAAATTTAACCCAGATAAAGGTGTTTGGTCAGTACAGATCAAAGCTTGGCTATATTTACCAATTGAAGGCAATAAATTAAAAATTTTTTTCTCATCGTTACCGGGGCGTCTCATGCGTAAAATTGAGAGCACAAAAAGAGAAGATAGCGTTGATAAAGAATTAAATTTGAACGCTGCTGGTGATCTTGAAGAAAATAATGAACAGGTAGAAATAATAGATGATGATGATGATCCTGGTGCTTGTCTAAATGAAGATGCTGTACGTGAGTAAAATTTCAAAATTAGTTTATTTTTGCAAATTAGTTTTCCATTTAGATGAAGATTCTAGCAAAGTCGATGAAAATCCTGGTCGTTTAGGCTATTTTTTTGTTAGAAAATCTGTGAAAGTCATAACAAAATCTATTATTAATGATGTTGAACATTTACTTCAACCATCGGATGAGAGCGGTTTCATTGAAGGAAATCTTGAATTATCTGATGAAGAAATTCGATCGCTTGGTGAAAAAATTCATCCGGACTCCAGTGATCTAAAATTTGATTATACAATTCAAATAAATCAATCTAATAGTGACATTAGAACAGAACCTTGCAAATTATTTAAATGTACAATTTATGCTCTTGCACATAATGGCCTTAGTATTATATCTGATATTGATGATACAATAAAAATTTCTGAAGTTGTTAGTACACGAGAATTGCTCAAACATACATTTGTAAGTGATTTCAAGCCTGTTGATGGTATGAGTGAACTCTATCAAGCATGGAGTGAACAGAACTGCCAGTTTCATTATGTTAGTTCAAGTCCATGGCAATTGTAAGTTTGGAAGTTTTATAAAAAAAATTAATTTCAAAAATGATGCTTTCTAGATTTCCAGCTCTTAGTGTATTTTTGAAAAAATATAAATATCCAATGGGTACAATTAATTTAAGAAAATTTGCATGGGGTTTCAAACATTTAAAACCACCGAAAACATATAAAATGGAAACAATTACACAGATCCTAAATGCTTATCCATCGAGACAATATATTTTCGTTGGAGATTCAGGTTCGATTAAATCAAAATTTATTTTTACTTTTTTACTTTTGTTCGTTTTTTTTAGGAGAACTTGATCCAGAAATTTACTCTAAATTATACACGATGTTTCCACAAAATATCAGGCGTATATTTATCCGAGATGTTTGTAAAACACCTGAATGTTTGCCGCAGTGCCAAGAACGATATTTAAGCGCATTTCAAGATGTGCCCAAAGAGCAATGGACGATTTTTAAAGATCCAAGAAAAGTCGAAACAGATATTCGAAAAATAACTGCTGTCTAAAATTACGTTACATTAAAAAACTTCTGCCACGAATTCGTTTGATTGAAGAAGAAAAAACATTAGTATTTTTGTTTTTGCTGATTCTCCTTTGGATGAATTTCTAAAGGTTACTGAGTCACTTGCAACATGCACCGAAACTCATATAAGTAATGAATAATTTATGTCACATATACTAAACAAAAAAATGATCGGATTGTATTGCGAAATTAATGTGTCTAAAAGTCCTTGCTGTTTCATATTAAATCCTATATCAGAATTTGAATTCGAAGGCCTATTGATATCTGTGTATAAAAAAAATCAAAGTACTTGTAAATTAAATATTTGCTTATGAAGTCTAGCATATGCCAGATTATTGCATATTTACTTTGAATTAAGCTCTACTTAGTTTTGTTTAACATGTATATTTTATAACAACAACAACAACAACAACACAAAAAAAAACAATAACAATAGCAATAACAGATGCACATTCATATATAGAAATAAATCTTTATATTATTCATGGAAACGAAAACATTCGTTAGCAATAACCCATGTTGATGTTACAACATCAACTGTCAATATGAATATATGTGAAAATAGGCGTTTTTCTTTTGTTATTGTTGTACTTTCTGGTGTACCATAGATAGCAGCACCGCTGACAAACACTTGATAAGTTGTATCTTCATCGGGAAACAGATCTAGAAAGAAGAAAATAAATTTTCCATAATAAACAAATAGTTTTACCTTTCATAGGAAAATAATCTAATGCATAAATGTGATGTTTTGTTGGTGGCAATGCAACTAAATGATTAGCGATAGCACTTTGACCATTGATTTCACTTCCATTCCATATTAATTTTGCTTGTGGTTGATAAAACTTATCTACGTTCTAAATAATCTACTTATTATTTTTTCTTTTCGATTTAATTATTAGAAAAATCTTACATGTCTTCGTGTATCTAATATATCGTAATATCTTTTAGAAAAATTTTCTACTGCATTTGCATCTTCACGATATTTTCTTTGCTAAATAAAACTTAAACAGTCGAGTTTCCTTTTTAGATCTTAGAAAAATTTATTTATCACACCTGATCGGTATTTGTAGCCATAGTGAAAATAAAATAGATCTTATCTGAAATACGAACTATGTGGTTTTTTTGTGTTTATTTATAAATCAGTCACAATGATTAGTGTGTATATATATATATAGTCAAGTAGCTATAAAAAAAACGAATTGAATAATGTTTTTTTGAATTATATCAACGTCGATGATCACGTTCACCATTTTCATGACGATGGTTTCGTTTCGGGCTAAAAAGAATTAATTTGAGAAAGAAAAAAAAGAAAAGATTAATTATCATACCGTGATGTTGATCGAGATCGTGATCTAATAAAACAAAAACAAAAGTAAACGATAAGGAAATACGATAAACAACAAGTTAAACCAACCGTCGATAACTACCACTGCGCGATCGATGTTTTGAACGTCGACGAGACCTTGATCGTGAACGTGTTCTAAGAAAGAATTGAAATATTGTTCTTATTACTTATTAGGACTAAAATTTTTATTTCATCCAATGCAGGTTTGTCAATTCTTGTAAAAGCCTTATCGGCGACACACATATGTACACAGATAGCTTACATCTGATCTGCTAAATCGCCTGGAATCTCGCTCTGTTTAGTTAAATGCAGCAACCACCGGAATAAACCATTATCTTTTTTTATTCTCGAACAAAATACTGGAAACAGCATCTTCGCGCAGGAGAATACCTGTGTGAATAGACATAATCAATTTTGTTCGTGGGGTGGGAACATGGGGAACTCATATACATAAAAAACAGTAGGAATATTTATATTCTTTTATGATTTCCTACCGGCGGCGACGTGATGTTTCATGGCTATCTGTTGTTGACGCACGGCCATAACGAGCAAATTGAACACGTATTTCACGTCCATCAAGATCAGCGCCATCCATACGATCAAGTGCATCTTCAGCATCACGCTTCTTCAAAAAGCTTTAAAAAGACACACATAAATAATAAAAAATGTGTAAAAAAATAAATTATGAACAAACCGAATAAAAGCATAGCCACGGCTTGATCGAGAGAATTGATCACGTGGAATATAGATATCACCGATACCTCCAAATTTTTCAAAACAACGCCGTAAATCTTCGACGCGTGTACGATATGTTAAATTATCAACTTTAAGGGAATACATAACATCAATGTTTGGTGGCGTTGTACGATGATCTCCATCAGGTCGACTTCGAGCGCTCATTTTTGAAGAAATAAAATTATCGTATGGAACAAATCAAGAGCACAAAAAAATATGAAAGAGTTGAAAGATTGAGCAACTAGGAAGAAAAAAATAACAATGATAAATAGCAGCCATTTACATATTGATTCAAATTACAAAGTGGAGGTATCAGTGAGTGTCAGCGACATCTATCGAGAGGACAGTGCCTATAGTTTTTGTGACTTGTTACTCAATGTTTTAGAGAATATGATGGTCTTAAAAATATTTCACAGAAACATTATATTAATTTACAATTAACATAGAAAAACCTTCTTGAAATAGCTGATCAAATATTCGTGGGTAAAACAACAAAAACTCGTGTAAATTAGAACTGGTATTGCTAATCGATTAGATTTGTTAAGTCTCTTACAGTATGAAATATATGATAACCACGAAATTCTTTGCAGATCTAGAAATTTTCTAAATATCTTCCTATAAAAGCTGCTATCCCAATGGGCCTCTCTAGCGCAAACATATTTGAAAAGATTGTCAATCGATATATATATTTCAGTTGACTTTTAACTTCAGCTATTACACGTTACACGAGATGAAATATCAACAATGATTAGTAATGCGCCAAGATAAGAATCTTTAGATAAAATTGTTATGTCCAATGTTGATTCAGTACATGATGCCCTAGTCGAACTTTCTTTTTGCAAGCGCATGCAATTCTTCACTTTCTTGATCAAGAAAGTCAAGAACTATGGACACACCTTGAGGCAAGATATGAGGCCTTTCGATGAGCGCAAGTTCTTAAACTTCTTGCTCATGCGCTTGAATTTTTATCTAAGCGTTTCTGTTATTAAAAAACTTTTTCAATTTTACGTTCAAAATAACTCTACTTTTAATAAAAATTTATAGTTGCATCCTTTTGTAACTCATGCAAACATTCAAGCGTTTATCTTGAGCTCAAGTCTTGGTGAGCGCATGAATAAAAAAAAGCTCGACTAGGGTGGTGTTTTTGAGACCCCAATCTTCTGTAAATAACAAGAGTTGTTTTAATCGGAAGAATTATAGAGCTTTTATTTTCTGTTACTAATCTTCAAGAATAATCAAGAAAATATTGACTTTTTATCCTTGTGAGATTACTCAGAGCAGTCATCTGAAACGGTATCTTTGACGGTCTGAAGTGGCTATAAACCACGTAATAAGTAGTGGCGTAATCAGGGGTGGGCATGATAGGGTGCCGCCCAACCACCAGAGAATTCCTGGCTACGCTACTACAGTTTATAAGGGAAGATTTCTTTTCTCGTTCTATCATTGCAGATCTATTAGTGTCATCAGACGTAGGTATATAAGATACAATCAAGTATTTTATTTGTATGTCATTTAGACTATCCGGATTATTTTTGAAGGGGGTGTCTCAAACCATGGGAAATCTATACGAATCACCGTGCCGATAGATGTTGTATCAGAAACTGGTTGAGTATTCATTTTATGCGAATTGATCCTCAGATGGATTATATGTTCTGGGTTTAATATGATTAAAAAGAGTCAGTTCTCATACCATGGCATTATTATCCGGTATTGCTGTACTTGAATAAGGGCCTTTAATGCATTTATTTTTCATATTGATATCTTGAAACTATCCTCAATATTGTAAACGGTTGGTTGGCTAATACAGCAATGAAATCTGCTCATTTTCAGTTACAAGGCCCTGAATGTGGTTTAACTAAACATGTATTTTCTCTTCGTTCTGAAATTGTGTAAATAGGATAAATTTTTGATTTCTCATACTATAAACTGTGTTATGATAGCTACAGATGAATGCGCTTTTTTTTGGAAGATGTATATAAGAGAGGTTTGAATTAAGATAACCATTTTAAATTGGACGTAGAAATCAGCAACATATCTACGAATGATTTAAATTCAATTAAGCTAAAACATATTACTTAACACAGTTGTTAATAATGACATAAACATTTTCCCCATGCATTTTCACGTCAAATTAGAAAAAATATCTTTTTCCTTAAATAATTCCTAATTTACCTGATCATGAATGGATTTAGCCCATTCGAAATCATCGTCGTAAGTAGCTTGAAATCCTTCATATAAAATAGCGGACAAAAGTCTTCACCCACCTAGAACTTTCTAGAAATTCTAGAAACTTTCATCAATCTAGAATATATATATATATAGTATTAGTGATGCTCGGATCAGAAGATTTTTTCACTCCTTTCATACAACTGCCTATCGACACTTTTCATATATAGCTATAACAGCGGATAAATGGTATGAAACTGTGTTTTTATCTAATCACCCATTGGGTTCACAGCTCAATCATACGGGTGTGGCCAAAGCAATGCACTGTAGCCCGCCAACCGCGAAATATTGGCTCAAGCGATGGATGAAATCCAAAGATTTCAGTGATTCAACACGACCAGGGCGGTCACCCGGAAGCAGGATCAACGAATCATTTCGTTCGCCGAAGAACAGACATTGATCACTGCTCATGACATTGCAAGCAAGCTGAAGCGGCAACTAGTTGTAGTCAGTGACAGAACAGTTCGACGGCGCTTAAATGAAGCGGGTGCGAAATACAAACGACCAATGTCAAAAGTCACTGCTTACGGAGCACCATCGACAAAGGCGTTTAAAATGGGAACAATATCACAAAGCCACGAACAGGAACCAAGTGATATTTTCTGACGAGACTACTATTCGTTTGAATTCTGTCAAAGGACTGGTTTGGAACTTGCCAGGAAAGAAGAAAATCGTTCGTACTATCAAGCATACTATCAAAGTGACTATTTGTGGTTGTTTCTCAAACAAAGGTTTCGGTTGCATCATCTGTTTTCGCCAGATCCTTGATTCCAAATTCATGTGTGATATTTCCCAGTACAGTCTTTTATCAACAGCTAGCAAACAAATTGATCACGATTCGACGTTATGGAAACTGCAAGAAAATAACGGCCCCAAACAAACGTCGAAACTTGCACGCAATTGGAGAGAAGAAAAGACGATCGAAAAAATCGATTGGACATCGGTGTCACACGTAGTGGCGGAGCCAGAGGGGGAGCTTGGGGGAGCTGAGCTCCCTCTAGAAACTGTTGAGCTCCCTCTAGAAAATTTTGTCGCTATTTAGGCTGTTACTGTCAAATTATCTTTACTAAATAATTTCAATGCAAATACTAGAAGTTAGCATAGCCGTTTGCCTATTTTTAATCGACTAAGAACAACTTAGACCTTTTTTCTCTTCATTTTTTATGAGCAAGTCTTTCAATTTCAAGTAATTCTATCGATGCCAATTGTAAATCAAAAACCGTGATTAAAGATACTAAATTGTCAACTATAATGGATATACTTAATGAATTAAAACCAATGAAACAAGCATTTCCTTCAACTGTGGCTTTGATCAAAGGTGCTGTCACATTTCCTGTGTCGTCCGTCGTATGTGAAAGGTCGTTTTCCAGGATGAAATTGATTAAAAATTATGCTCGAAATTCGATGGGTGATGAAAGACTTAGTGATCTTAGTGTATTGGCTATTGAAAGAGAATTTGACATAGATTTTGAAAAGGTTATTGATGTATTTGCCATACAACATAAAAATAGTAGAATTTTGTTAATGTGATTAAGTGATATGAAATACATTTAAATATAGAATCCCATTCATATGTTGATATAAACATAATGTTTATAAATATATGAGCAAGAACTGATTGAATAAGATATTAGGGCTCAGAAAACTGACTCAAACATGACAGTTTTCAAAAAACAATTTTACTATCGTAAGTAGACTTTGAATAATTAAGATGGAGCTGAGCTCCCTCTAGACTGAAATCCTGGTTCCGCCACTAGTCACACGACCTAGCTCCTATCGAAAATGTATGACAACTGCTCAAGATAAAGTTAAGAAAGAAAACGTTTACAAATTATCAACCTCTGGTTTCGGTAATAAAGCGTGAATGGACAGCTCTAGCACCAGAACTGGGCACAAAATGGCATATAGTATGGAAAATCGAATCTATGAAGTTATTGAAAGTGATGGTGATTTCATATTATATTAATGATCAGAATAGACTCTAAACTTTTATATAATAAAACACTTTTCATTGTATCGTCATGTTTAATAAAATTATAGGTGGGTGAAGACTTTTCCCCACTACGGTAAATACACACCCATACCCACGCCCTCAAGAAAGATCAACGTGCAATAGTAAAATGAAAAAGATTATAGTATCAAAGTAATTCATATGTTATTCCGATTCTTCGAAAGAAATGCTCGTCTATGAGGTAATATCTTTTGAGAGAATTCACTTGATGTTGTTCTGACAAAACAGAAACAAATATCTTTATCGTGAAGCAGTGTAAATGATGAAAGTATTAGCGATATATAATTGTGAGAAAAGGAGTACGACAAGGGAAGGTTAAAACAGCATGCACAAACTATCAACGAAATCAAGAAGTACGAGTAGAGAATGACACACAAACAAAAATAGGTCGAGAACGTTGCATTCACACTCAAATAGACATATCATTCAGATTGATGACATTTTTTCATGAAGATGATGGGTCGTAGCAGTAGCGTATTATTTTAATTTTTAATCAGCATATATAATGTAGTCCAATGTTAGGTATGGATTGAGTAGTGAAAACGGATGTCCATTTCCTGTCACGTTTGTATATCCGTACACTGCATGTCTATGATCACCCGCACGATGTAAGATTATGTTTGTAGTACTCGACGTGACGTCTATTCGGCTAGTGTACCAACCACTTTTTCCGTTTGATGTGCTAACATGAAAATATTCTGATGAATCAGACCCATAGTCCTCAAGTATTTTAGCATCATGTTTATGTCCTGGATCGTAAATACTGTGCGTATGTGATCCCTCCATATCCGTCATCAACGAACCGGACGCATGATAATGTAATGGTAGTTCATCAGTTGTTAAAGTATGTTTCGCATGTCCACCTGCGTCACCTATCTTGATAGCATAATCTGTTCGGATTTTAGAAAGATCTCTTCCTATCACAACACGACCTTGTAGGTCAGGTAGTTGAAAAGTAGCCGTATCAGTATTGTCCACATCATAAGTTGTACCAATCACAGCAAAGAGTCGAGAATATGTAACACGCGATATCTTCGAGCCATCACATCGAAGCCAGTTAGCAGGTAAATCCGTGGTAGATGATGTATACAAACGGATTTCTCCAGTGAATAGTGTCAACACTAAAAAAACAGAATAAAATAATAAACCTTTGCTCTATATACAGTTTACCATAAACGCTTTAAGGGTTTATGATTGTTAAAGGAGCGTTTAGTATGCCGCGTTTAAGGATTCATTATTATACCTTCATAGTACAGGAGCTTGCCGTTTTATGTAACAGGACGGGTGTGCGTGACGAATAAACATCTCGATCGATTCCCATTTCGTGAGACCCGAACTCCACACTCAATGTATGCGAGGTGATTATTAAATTAACATATCTCAAGGATTTCAAGAAAACTAAGCAACTAAAGCAGCCACATAATTCGAAATAAATCAAGGTACTTCCAGAGACTATAATGTAATTACTTTAAAATAATTTAGCATACATTAATCTAATCCCAGGTACTTGAACACACTTTCATTCGCGTTTGTGTCTTAGTAAGTTAAATTTTCGGCTTCTATTGAACTTATAGTGCATCAATAGAAAGCTATATAATCAACACACAACCCATATAGTGTAATATTGAAGCTTCCAATGAGACTTTTCATTGATTTGAAAACCTGCATACTAAGTAGTTTAGAACTATGTATTTTGTATTATTGATCATCAACGATCAAAAAAACAATATTAATACATCAGCGAAGCATTTCTAGTGGAATAAAACCAGGGTATGGCACTTATCCTGATCGCACGAGTGGCCAAGCAATGGATAACTCAAAAATTCATCCCTATATTTGCTTGATAGGGGAGGTTTATTGCAGAGAAATAAGGAATTTTTGAAAAGAGAGATCGAATTTGTGAGCTTTTAGAAACTAATTAGATATTTGTATTCCTAGACATCATTATCTTCAGTCAAATTTTCAAAAAAATTACTATTTCCTAGAAATATCCTTTCATTATAAAGGAAAGAGTGTGATACATTTCCAGTTATTACAGGTCGCTCAGTTTGTTTTGAAACGATTTTGATCAATTTTTTCTTCGCCAATGACTCATCGAGACTTGATGATTTTTATATCAGTCTACGTCACATAGACTGCACATATTATTATAATATTTTTTAGTTTTGATAAACAAATGTCTGGTAATAAAACATCTAATAATATCCAAAGATACGTAAAATATCTTTTGACAGAGTAATATTCGTGTTTAGTGAAACAGGAATATTTATGTGAAATACGTTTGAATGCACCGAAAAGTATCATTAGGCATGTCTCTAAAAGGTTGAAAAACAGTCTCAATCAGTTTTATTAAACAATGAAAATCAAAACTTTTATCGTCTATGTCGTATGGAACTGTGTATAATTGGTTCGTCGTAATGCGTCGCACATAGACGAAGAAAAATTTCCTGCTATTTAGTAAATTGTTGCAGGATATCGTATTAGTGTTGTTACGACTAATCCGATTATTCATTATATAAATCCTGCAAAAGAACGTACAAAAAAATTATTTGATCGTTGATATTCATCTATCATTGAAAAAGAAACGATCTTAGTGCTCAGAGTGTGTGGTGATATCGATGAAGCGATATAGCCTACAGAATAATGTGTAGAACGACGAGGCATTCTTTTTCACGTAACTGGGGCTTGATTTCAACCTTTTAGAGACATGCCTAATGATACTTTTCGGTGCATTCAAACGTATTTCACATAAATATTCCTGTTTCACTAAACACGAATATTACTCTGTCAAAAGATATTTTACGTATCTTTTGATGTTATTAGATGTTTTATTACCAAACATTTGTTTGTCAAAACTAAAAATATTATAATAACATAGTGCAGTGTATGTGACGTAGATTGATATAAAAATCATCAAGTCTCGATGAGTCATTGGCGAAGAAAAAATTGATCAAAATTGTTTCAAATAAACTGAATTACTTGTAGTTACCCGATAAAATAACGCTAATTTCCCTCCTCCTGATCAAAAGACCAGGGTGCAAAATGCACTCAGTATTTTTATCCGATCAATATGTTAGCAATTTGGAGCCATAAGAATACAGAACTGTTGACGCTCTATTGAACAATATTTACTCTAAAACATAGGCTTATTACTGAATCCTAAAATTTTCATATCTTCCTTAAGAAGCTCCGTGTGGTTTCGTACTGTGTTTTACGAAACGTACTATATCTGGTTGATATAGTGGCACGCTTGGTAGTGATCTTACGAAACCCTTCACGGTTTCGTAGGAGATTAGAGGGCATCGTACTTTTCTTAATGAACATCTTCGATACTTTGGAAAGGAAACGATTCAGTATATTTTCTTCAAAATCCTTTCCACGAGCGATTAGTGTCACCGTAATACCTATCAAAATACTTCTATAAACCTGATACAGTAACTCTATTATCCTGATTGTTTAATCGGGGATACAACTTTTTTTTATCGCAGGATAAATATATCTTATTGAAAATCAGGGTTAAGTTCTCATTCAACAATAAAAAAACGAAATTTATTTGTTTTCTAATGTCTTGAAGTGTGCATGCAAGAAATATGAACAGATTGATATGCAATCCCTATGAATTTGATGAAGAGATGATAGATCGCTTAAATAGTAAAGAGGCTAATTGGCTATCAGAAGATACTATGTAGGATCGTTTTGGAGCTAGAATAACTCTATGATACTTCTTTAGAAATTATATTCGTACTTGTTGAGACATATTATGTGGATATTAGCTCGTATCCTTGGCATACATAACATCGTGGCCAGGCAAAGTTACAGTTCATTCCAGTCTTCTTCTATTTTCGAATTAAACTCGCACTTTCACTCACTCCTAAACATAAAAGTTCTCGTGCAAGAAAAGTTTGAGAAAGATCTATTGGATCACCACTATCTTGCGTTTATTTATATATTTAAAAAAATATTCGATATGTAATTACTTTTATAACTGAGGTGATGATTGGATAGTTTAATTGGTAGAGCAGTCGACCGGTTATCGGATGACGCAAGTTTAGGCCCTGTTCTGATTTTATGATCTTTTACCTTCAGTTATTGTTGCTAAATAGACTATATCATGTGCAATATATTCCAATCATTTATATGGAATGAAAATAGAGAACTCTTTTTTGAAATTTCATTTTACCTTTCGGCTACAATTAAAGTATTTAATTTAAACTCACTCTCACCTTTATCCTTTTCTGCTTGTGTTGTTAATAGAGCTGATAATTTATTATCGGCAGCTGTTGCTGATGATTTAAGTTCTGTCAACTGGCTGGTTGTGTGTAGCTTTAATTCATCGACATTATGTTCAACTGCTGTTAGTAATGACTTAAGTTCTGTCAACTGGCTTGTTGTGTGTAGCTTTAATTCATCAACATTATTTTTGTTTGTTGTCACTGATGATTTAAGTTCTGTCAAATGAATGGTTGTATGTAACTTTGATTTTTCGGTATTATTTTCAATTGTTGACAGCGACAGTTTCACATTGGCCAGTGCAAGTTTCGTCACAGTTAGTTCTTCATTTAGTTCACGTAATTTCAATTCAAATACGTTGGTATAATTATCTATAACTGGTACCGGCGCTAGTAATGCATTTGAAGATAATGACAGAATCCGAATCGGTACTGCATGTATCAAATCTATATGTGATACAACGATACTTCTGTGCACAAATTTTGTATTTTCTTGAAATGTAGCTAGATTCAATTTGTAAGCTTTAACTGGCTTAACAATGAACTTTTCACCTGTAAACTCAATAAATTGACGATTATTTTTATAGAAATCAAAATTTTGATGTCTTAATTCTTGAAATGACTGAGCATCTTCTTCAGTGCTTGAATGATCATGTGCTGTTTGTTGATTCTGATTAGCTGCGTGTCGCCATGCAGTCGCATTATACCCCGATAGATCATCACCAGTTCCTTGTGTATCTTTCCACGCGTTACTTCCTTCTTGTGAACGATCGCTGTATTTACTCATTGCATTACGCCAATCATTAGAACCATAATGTGAACGAGATGAAGAATCGCCATCGATGTGTGAATTTGATTTGCTAAGCGACACACCAGCGCCGAACCCGGCAAAGGTTGCTTTAGCATCTGTACTGCTACTAGATGAACGGTCACGATAGCGACTATTCGATGAACTGTCTTGATAACTATGACCATGTGATTGATCGCGGCTGTTTTGATCAATAAGTTTTTGTCCTGTTGAATTACTACCAGCACGGTCATTGAGTCTATCAGTTTTATTTCGATTACTATTGGATAGATTTTCTGAAGTATCATAACTTGCATGTGCACTTCCCTCGTCAATTTGTTTTTGATGTTGTTGCTGTTCAACAGACGTCTGATTTTGATGTGTAAGGATAGTTTTATTCCTTAAATGTTCTAATTCATCATTTAATAAATTGACGATTCGATCTGGACGTATATTATCGGAATTCCAATAGACTGAATTCCATTGTCGTTCCATGTGGCCATGTAATATTTCAACATTTAATGAAAGACGTTGTCTCAACAGATCTGTCAATGTTTTTTGATCATCTTGTGTAATATAACCGGAATCAGTTATTTCTTCTAATTCCATTGTTGTCAATATTTCAGTTAATAGTTGATTCATATCATCAACAAGTAGATAGCGTACACTGCTTTCCGTAGTTGATGATGGTAATTGCTTTAGTTGTGAATACATCTGTGTTTTCATAACATGCTGACCAGTAATTGTAACCATCTTACGTGCTTGCTTCTCAGTTTGTGTACTATATTCTAATTCCAAACCATTCAATATATCTGGCGTTTCTAAAACATCATTCAATAAATCATCACATGTTTGATTTGTAGTACATTCAATATGCACATCTATTTTATTTAGAAGTGCTGTATTCGATTGCCAACTTGTGTCTAAATTATAATCGGATGACATTTTATTTGTACGTTTCCACACAACTCGAAGACGTTCAGTTGGTACCATTTTTATGTCACATATTTCTTGTGGTGGACTGCATCGATTCCGTGTATGCGATACATATTTTAAAATTGTTGTACGCAATTCATTTGTATAGAGTATTAATGAAAGACGTAAGAGATATTTGCCACTCAGACGATTATAGAAGACACGCGTCTGATTAAGATATAGTACGGCCAACGGTGGTACAAAGAGACGTGAACCATTTTGTATATGTTCATAGACAGTTACTTCGCCATCCAAATATGGTACGAATGTGAAAGCTGACGGTGATAATTGTGCTTTGAAGAAGTCCTGTGTAGAAATTAGGTTTGTTGAAATAGCATAGATGATAAAAATAATGTAGAATTGAAGATTCATTTTTTATGTGTTTCTGCCTTACAGAAGTGTACAGTATGGGTATATTGGAATCGATATTTATAGCTTTAAGCAAGAAGTACTTTGCCCTTACAAAAATGTTAATTTGCTTTTATCTTGATGTATATCATCTACTTCCGAAAGATGTTTTCTTTCTTAACTGATGCAAGTATATCAATCTTTATAAAGAAAAAAGGAAAAGATAGAGAAGATACTATCGTACTCTTCTCTAATAGCACGAAACTAGATGTCTTCTAAGGAGAAAGTGGCGAAGGAAAAAGTCACGTTACGTATTATATCGCCCAGTATAATAGCATTACTTACTATTTATAGGCGATAGCATTGATTGATGTATAATATGTCGCAGTCACTTCCACTTGTGCCGAAATAAAAATAGATAAATCGAAAACAAACTTAGGAAGAAGAATGAACAACATTCGCTATCAATTTGATTTTTAGCCAACACTACAGGATTCATTTGGATTGTCCTAAACCTTATTCAATTGCGATTCATAAAGGTAGTTGTCTTTGTGATGTTATATGTGAGTATGGTTGAGTCACGGGTAATGGGATTTGGCTCATATGTTTATTGCTTACACCGACACATCGCAATAAAGCAAAAATCTTTGAGATTTATTAAAATAATTATTTCTCATCAAAATAAAGAAACCCCGTACTCACACGATCTTATCTTGGCTTCGTATTACACAAAAATCTAAACTTTCGAAATCATACGACACTAAGACAATCAATGCCAGTGTGAAGGATTGTTTTGAAATTTATTCATTCCAACAAATACAATCAATTGAGAAAAGTTATTTGTATTGTGACTGTCTTCCAATTCCATCTATATACAGTTTCATTTATTTATTTATTTATTTATTTATTTATTTATTTATACGTTTATTCTAATAACAAAAAACAACATTGAATAAATAGAAACGAAGCATAGATCATTAAGAATTTTCCACTTTTTGAAATCTAAATTAGAACAAAAGAAACAATAATAATTACGTATCAATCTATAGACAGAAGATACATGCGAACATTTTGGATATAAAAAGAAAACAGTTTGTCCTTCTACAATACGAAAACAAATTATCATTATGGTTTTATCCAGCAAAAAAATAACAAGTTACGATCTGCTGAACGTAACTGTCTAGTAGTAAATGGCATTTCATCATGGCAACTAGGGGTGGACCATTTTTTTTAACGGAACTTAATTAATGACATTAATTAATGACTTCCATTAGCCATTAATATTAATGGTTAATGTTTTCTAAGAAAAACTTAATTCATTAATATTAATGATTAATGAAAAACATTAACATTAATTTTAAAATTAATGTTTTCATTAATCATTAATATTAATGTCAATGTTCTTGAATGATATTAACGGTTAAAGGAAACATTCACCATTAGTATGAATAGTAATGTTTTCGTTAATATTAGGGATTATATTTTCATTAATCATTAATATTAATGTTAATGTTTTCATGAAAACATTAATTTTTCCATATTACTGAATTAGGCTTTTCTAAGGAAACATTATCTACAATTATTAATCAATTAACTGATCTTAATAGCTAATGTTTTCTCCGAAAGTGTTAATTACTTAATATGGAAAGTTATAATGCTTTCATGAAAACATTAACCATTAATATTAAGTCATTGATTTTAATGAAAACATTAACATTAATATTAATGATTAATGAAAGTATAATCCCTAATATTAACGAAAACATTACTATTCATACTAATGGTGAATGTTTCCGTTAACCGTTAATATCATTTAAGAACATTGACATTAATATTAATGAATTAAGTTTTTCTTAGAAAACATTAACCATTAGTATTAATGGTTAATGAGAAACATTAACATTAATATAAAATTAATGTTAATGGCCCACCCCTAATGGCAACAATGAGAACATTTTCGTTAGTGAGGCAGCTCTAAGAGCTGTCCGAGCGTAGTACGTACGAGAGTATCATTGAAATAGGTATCATGATTTTTAACACATAGGGAAGTGTTTCAACATTCAATTACACCCACAACTGATGAAAATCCACCCATACCATCAATGATAATTCACCCAAATAATTTTTTCCAAAAATCAAATTCAAAGAATGAACAACTGTTCAATAAAAACTAAACATCTCTCAGTAAATATAAATTTTTCTTCAATATAGTCTTAGGACTTCAAAAACTTTTCAAAATACTCGATGAACTATCGCCATTTTGCTGGAGAAGACGTTCGTTCAAATTTCATTGGATAGAACACAAAAAATTAAGAGACTTTGTAAGCGAAAAGTTTTCGATTGCTATTTCAGGTGAGCTGGTATCACGGTTTTTTCTTTTGTTTTTTAGGATGAGTCATGAAAAAGTGATACGTAAAGAAAAAACCAATTTTCAATTTTCTTTATTATAATTTTCACAAGTTTGGAGTTTGATAGATGTGATTCTAGTATGTGTTAGTATGTCGGTTTGTGATCCGAAATGGCATACGTGACCACCTGGTTGATTCTGAGGTGACGAATTAGATGTTTTCTTCATGTTTGAGCGAAATAACCAGACTCAATTATACATTAGTTTCATAGTTTCAGTATTTTTTTCTTAGTCAGTGCTATCGGAGGTTTTTCTTCAAGTATCTCATAATTTCTAGGTTTTTGTTTCAGTGTCTGTGTTTGAGCACACTTTGGAGAATAAGCGATATTGTTTCCCGTATAGTTTGTAGTTTATTAGTGGCGTCATCAGGGGTGAGCATGGTAGGACACCGCCCTACCACCGTTAGCCTTTGCCTTACCACCCGGAAAAAATATAAAAATTTCTAAGATTTCTGTTTTTTATTTAATGTTAGTTAAAATTACACATGTTTGAAAAGCCTGTGCGTAAGCGACATTCCTTTTTTTTATAATTATTCGAGCTAAATCGATTGATATTGCCAAAGCCCATCCCTTGATTAGTGCTGTTATTAATCAAATTAATGAATTTCGAAGTGAAGAAGAATGTTCTAGACTATTTGGGCAAATAACTGGATTTTGTGTTGACAAAAATATTGAGACTAATATTAATGCTAAACTTAGACAAAGAGGACAAAAAAACAATTTCAACAAGATTTAAAAACTGTTCAGCTACAAGTACAATAGGACAACGTGAAAAAATTGATAATGAGAATAAATATAGGGATTTTGTTTTCTATCCGGTAATTGATTATATCCTTGTTGAAATGAACGATCGTTTTTCAAAAAGCAATATGGAAATTCTTCGTGGCACCTTATCTCTATCACCTGATAGTTCAACATTTTTCGAGGTGGAAAAATTAACCGATTTATGTATTATGTTACAATGTGATATTGTATCATTGCCTAATGAAATTCAAGTATTAAAGCCTATGCTCAAACAACCAAAATCTAAAGATATAGTTGATTTATACTTTGAAGTTTACCATTACAGCAACAAGTATTTCTCCCACAATTATATATCTTCCTATCAGTGCTATGTCTATTCTTGTGTCTTCAACAGGGTTGCCACCTGATGAAGTCTAAAAAGCGGAAAATAACGGGAAAAAAGTGAAAAAGCGGAAGAGGTAGCAACCCTGACCTTCAACTACAAAAGAGGGAACATTCAGTATAATGAAATTAATCAAAGCTAGTGCATGTAATAGTATGTCCGACGATTGACTGAGCGATTTGTCTTTATTAGCCATTGAAAGAGATTTTGTTGTTGATCATGAAAAAATAATTGATGCTGCTACCATTCAGCACGAAAACAGTCGAATATTGTTGAAATAACTGTTAATTATTTATTTTTCATCTCTTCTCTTTATTGTTCACATAATTTCATTTAACATAAAAGTATAAACACATTGAGCTTTCCTTTTTGAGAAAGTAGAAATTAATGATCTGTCTTAGGTCGACGAAAAACTCTAAGTTATAGTGGATGGACATTTACAAGTGGTAGGGTGCCGCCCAACCATCAGAGAATTCCTGGTTACGCTACTATAGTAATAAGGCATTAAACTTCACGGTATTTCGATGTTTTCTATTGTTTTTATGCTATTAACTTCTGTTGACGCGCACTGTTTTCTTCTACGTCAATAAATTTTGATGAAGGTTAAATATTATCTCCTTAAATGTATTCGCAATATCTAATCGTTCTGCTCGACCCAAATGCTTAAATATTTCAATTTCTGACAATATGTAAGCATATGTTGTTCAATTTTCTAAATATAAATAGAGTGTCAAGTATATTAAAGCGAAATCTTGTTTACTCGTTGTTATATCTAAAATGAAAATAATGTCAATATAGGGGTTTTGTTCGTATCTTTACACCAAGCCTTCATTGTTGAGAGCGTTGAATCAGCGCACGTGGCTATTTTTCCGATTTTGTTCACGCGTACTTTTCGCATGTATTCGTTTGTATGTCGTTGTTAGAGATGTCACACTTACCCATTATCAACTGACATTAATTTCTAGCGCTTGTAAACATACTTTCTTATGTTGATATTTAATTTTAATTTAATTTCTATTTTTCTCTAAGTACTCCAGATTCTGAGTAGCTACCAGAGAGATGCAGGACTACTCAGATCCACATGTTCGTTAAGTTTCGTAATTATATTGTAGAGCGTTGCTCAATACGTGTACACCATGTAGATGATACAACCAATGAAGTAATAATAAAGGAGAAAATAGAGAAAGAATCAGTGGTTGTCTAAAAATTCATATCTATTTCCAGAAAAAATATAGGACAAAAATCAACAATCATATCTGTTTTTATTTGAATATTTGAAAGAAAAATAATTAACATATCATTTTTGAAGTGAGAAACACTGAATTCGATTATTGCCTAAGTCGGAGACATACAAATTGCCGTATCGATTGAATGATAAATCATTAGGACGGCTCAATTGATTGGCTTGTTCTCCTTGACCCTTGCTTCCAACAATCACATTTCCTTGCGTTATGTTCTTTTGAAAACGTAGCACTCGATGAGTATCCCCACTGACCACATACATTGAACCCAACTGATCTACTAATATTCCCCTAGGACTAGTTAAGTGTACTAGATCATCCCTGGACTGTTTACTCCCAACCACCACAATCCCTTCCTTAGCACCCTTCATCCATTTCATCACACGGTGGTTATTATGGTCCGAGACGTAGACAGAATAATTTTGATCGACAATGATGTAACAGGGACCATTGAGTTGATTGAGTCGCTCACCTTTTCCATTACCTCCTGCTACTATTGTTCCATTCTTCTCTCCCAATTGATATCGCCTCACTTCACTATTGTCCCAATCGGAGACGTACAAAACTTGCTGATTGTCCATCGCCAGTCCCATACAATCGATATTATCGATGATAATTTCTCCGCTTGTTCGATTGTGACGAGGCCATCGCATCACTCGTCGATTTCCATTATCACAGATAATGAGACTGTCTGTGAGTTTATCGACAATCACATATTTTGGTTTGCTCAATTGATTAGTTCGATTTCCTTCACCGTTTCCACCGGCAACTACCTGACCATGCGTTGCACCAAGTTTCCAACGCATAATACGATGATTTTGTTGATCTGCGATGTAAATACTTAGATCATGATCTACATAGATGCCAACAGGATGGTTGAGTTGATTTAATTTGTCACCTTCTCCGTGGCCTCCAGCAATAGTCACTCCATTCTCTGCCCATCTGGCATCATAAGAAATGTTCGGCATGCAATCTATAACAAAAATAAAGAATCAAAATTCTTTATGGAATTATAGGATCAGCTGCACTGCACTACAATTCTCGACAGTTTCATAGTTTGATACTAGCAGGATTTCAGCTATGTTTTGAAATAATCAAAAGTACGTGAATATCTTCTGATTTTTTCTAAATGAACAGGCTCCCGTCTAACACAGTTATCATTTTAGATATGATCTTTCCATGATTTTCATTGAATCGGTTAATAAAATTTAAGACTTAATTTCGCAGAGTTCTTTTCTGCTTTTATCATTTTTCTAAGTCGTCACAAAATTTCATCGCATTTTACACCAGATTCCTCGTGCATTTGTCTGAACATTCTGTAGAATTCGAAGTCTGATTCAGAGCATTTCATTATATTTGATGATCTAGCGAGAGAGTGGTGTATATTAGCGATATCATTCACCAAGTAGGACAAGTTTTCTCAATTCTTAAGGACTTCACCGTCGACTTATCCAGTATTTTTTAGGAATCAAACATAAACAGTTCTACTATGTGTCCTTACAAATGTTATAATAGGATGGTTTGTAGTTTCGAGTAGGAAGCTAAATTCATTGTGACTTTGTGGCATAAACCGTAATTAGCATGTGATGGACTCTTTAGAAACATTTTTCGACATAATAAAGATTAAAATAATTTCTTGAATGAAATACTAACGTATTTAATGAGAATTAGGGAAATCATGGATTTGGACTTAACTCATACTCACACTCTATCTTAGATCAGATCAGCCTTTTTTAAGATAAACTGAAAAAATTAACTGAATATTTTTAGTATTATGATTGTAAATTTTTCATTTCAAATCGTAATGAAGTTACTCACAACTTGGATTTATTTGGCTAATTTGATAATCAGAATGCATAGATTTTTCCTCGACATATATCATCTGATTCCATGCTATTTGATCGCTATGTTTCGTGTTCAGTTCGATTACTGGTGATTGGACTAGTAATGCTAATCCATCATTAATTTGTCGAATTTCTTGTTGCAGTCGGGTAATATCTTGCTCAACAACACCTTTTGTATCTCGTAATTCTTGTAATTCTTGAGATAACATTTGAAACCGGATTTTAATGTCTTTCTGTTTTACGTGCATAATTTGAAGTACTTGCTGTTTAGCGTTGTCAGCAGCTTGTTTTATTTTCTCAATAGTTTTCTGTTGCCATTTATCAATTTTAACGAGAACATTTTTATCAGACTGATTATTTGAGAAAGCTTCAGTTATTTTTGCTTGTATATCGTCTCGATCTATTGTAAGTCCATCTAATTCATTGAGTAATGTACTACGATGACTGTGAAAATCATCATCACAAAAGTATGCATTGCATCCAGGACAAAAACAAGTGCCTGCACGCTTCCTACATACTGAACAGCGATTCAATGAAGCCATCAGTCTAAGAATAGTAAAGTTCAAGATGATTCGAATGAAAGATTACTGGATCATATTATCATCCTCATGTATATGCGTATGTAGATTTAAATATCTATAACTTCACTCGTTTCATAACGAATGAGTGACACAGTGATAGAGTATAAGCTCGTGGACTACAAAAAAAACATAGGTCAGCATATTCTAATATCTAAATTCTGAAATAGGCTATAAAGGCTGTCAATTCACATTACTCGGGATATATAGATGTTCAACATTCTTGAAGATTTAATTATATCCTTATACAATCTTAAAAAAGAGGTATATTGCTGAACCTGTATCCAACGGAAGAATCATTGGGTTATGTACATATTTACGGAACCCTAAAGGTGCTTCCCTTGGATACAAGTTTTGTAATAAACCTTCTTTTAGAGTGCAGTCTATCATTTTTGAACCTGCCTGCTGCAGACATTGAACCACAGTAAAATGTATTTAATTAATAGTACAAATTTTGCTTTGATTCCTATTGTTTTACCAATATTAATCATTTTCATCACCCAACAACATATGAGATAACAAAAAATGATAGTTTAAACCTATGTTAACTGTATTTTTATGCACATCGATATTATAATCGATATAATTTGTGGTTTTGTAACTCATAATCAATAATGGTAAATTGATGCAGTGGATATCAGAAACTGCACTAAATTAAAACTAATTTGATGTACTACACTGTAGTTTTTTTAAAATTCTATTCTGCAGAAAATCGACTTTAAATAAGCTACAGCATTTTCAAACTTTTATGATTCATTCATCGAAATTCTATTATTTAGAATATGCTTGATTTTCCAAACAATAGAAATTCAATTTAATTTACTGCATAAAATCCAAACTTGAATATCAATATTTTATTTTCAAGAAAGTAGAAATTCATCACTGAATTCATATAGGCATTCCTAAAATATCCTGCGCGAATTCATAAAGGCATTCTATTTTTTACAGTGTGCAATCAACAAAAGTTTTAATTCTTTGGATCTAGCAATCACAACATCAACTATTGATTTAAGTGCATTTATATTTAGTTGGAATTCTAAGTATTCAGTGTCTGACCCATTAGAATCAAATTAAGTCTCGACCGAAGCGCGTCGTTTAGAGCTTGAAATAAATTTAATTTAAACACATAAGCACTCACGCCCATACACACACACACACACACACAATCCATCCTGTATTCCTCATAAAATACCAACATTGCATGTATGATTCATGACAAAGAAGGAAGAGGCAAATGTTGGTAGGAAGCACATGAATGCGAGAGCAGAACGAACAAACAACAGAAAAAAATCGAGACGATGTTGCATCATTGTGGGATTGCTTATGAATGTGTTGATAGAGATGACATTGTTTCGATCTATGAAAATCGAACCAAAACTTCAATTGCTTCAATTTCACTAGACGTAAATGGAAGAATGGAGACAGAACACCTCAGTATTCCCTTTTTGTTAAAAATTATTTATCACCCAAAATTTCATGTTTCTTAGAAAGCCTAGTATGATTGTCCTCTTTCACTCTCCTCCTGATAACCTTAAATAGCCGCTGTGTGCATTGCATGTGAAAAAAGTGACTTTGGCCTAGATTTTTTCGCATACCAAATCAATGTGATCTCTATCAACACATCCATAAGCAGTCTCACAAATATGTCACATCTTCCCGATTTTTCCTGTTGTTTGCTCGCTCTATTCTGATACCCACATGCTACCAATCAACATTTCTCTACAAATCTACATTTTCGCTCACAAAAAGTGAGCTTTACACGTAAAATCTAGTTTTAGAGCACACTTGCGTATCAATTTTTGATGAAATAATTCTAGAGAAACTTCTAAGGTGTTCAAACAATTTTTTATTTCAAAACGGACCACTTGAACTTTGGATTCGGAAATGAGATCCCTGCAATATAGCAATGACACTTCCAGGTTCAAAGCTTTAGTATTTTGTTTTAGAACAAAACATTGTTTGAACAGCTTAGTAATTTTTCATGAATTATTTTGTCAAAAATTGATGCGCAAGCGAGTTCCATATTCCGAGTTCAATTTTTTGACGTATGTTGTCTGATTTCGAAAATCTTGTCTAAACAGGAAGTTATACCGATTTTAGATTCGTTCCACCTAGGGATGTATTCAAGCAGGAACCGAAAATGCGTTGAGTCGATTGAGGTGGATGTAAAATCGCCAGTCGGCTCAACGCATTTCTGCTTTCTATTTGCCGCCCCTCCCTCCCCATAGTTAAAGTGAATGTAGACTGACTTTCTCTTTATGGATCTTTTGATAAACCATAATGTTGAGCTGTCACCTGAAGTTCTAAATTTAAGAATATTGCTGGCTTGTAGAGAACAGAATAAGATATTCAATAGTATAATTTTTGTCTGAAATCCGACTTGTACAGATCTCAGAAGTTATGTTGTATTGATATTATATAAAGTAGCTAGATGTTGATATTCATTCTAACGGTCTTCTCTTTCTTTTTCTTCGGCGTTTTCTGCATTGAGTTGCACCACCCATTTTACATTAGCAGCAACGTTTCTCCTTATCCTATTTGTTCCCGAAACTCTATGCTTTAATACGATTCTTTTATTTTATTTGGTGTAGTTCGCACCGTTTGTTTTGGGTAGATAACACAAGAGTTTGATATGTCAAGTAAAAATCTTAATGATCTTTTTATGCGTTTCGCTCTACACGATGAAACTGATACTCGAAAATGCCGCGAATGCAAGAAATTTGTGGCGCAAGGGGCCTTATATCCCGTTTGTTCGGAATGTAATAAGACGTCTTGTCTCACTTCGTCATATCAAATGGATCCCAGCTGCTGTGTATCTGTTACACGCGAGCAAATTGATCATGATACGCTTGTGCATGTTAAACGTCTACGCTGGAATAATACGTATAATCGTGGATACTGTGCAAAGAGTTGCACTAAACATAACATGACATCGATGCACACGTACTGGGAAGGTCGACTCTCATCATCACCAGAGCGATTTCCCTACTTTGTTCCAAGCAATTGGTATCGTCTCAGTTTGCACGTAGATTTCGCATCCATTCCGTATTGGGGTTCAAATTGGCACACTCTGTACCACGGCACTCATCCACAGAACATTCACAAGATTGTCGAAAACGGATTTTTGATTCGCCAATGCCAACATGGGTTTCCAGCGATGTACCTGTCTCCTAGTATTCGTTATTCCTCGCATCCCAGATATGCACGCGTGGTTGTGCAAAACAACATGTTCTTTCAGTTTGTACTTGAGGTAAGAGTCGATATCAGAAAATTACAGCCCGTGAAGAAACGTGAGACGCTCAGCGTCGGCACTGTGGGTGACATCGACCCACACTTCCCGAACAACGAAGATCTTGAGTTCTTATTGAAAGCGGAGAAAGGAAAATTTCTCAAGCCTCACCAGGGTGTAGTTGTGACTGGTGTCATGGTTCGGAAAATCAATTTTGATCCTGCGTTGCTGCAATCGAGTTGGTGGTGGTGCAAATGGCGTACTCTGGAGCAACTTCATCGATTTTATTACAATGGCATGGCGCAAACTGAAAGTACAAACTGATTTTTCTTGATACTTCAATACGCTTCTGACTTCATTGAGGGTGGTGGTGAGAACAGCTATCATAATCTAGATTCCTCCTCAGCAAAGAAGCTCATCAGATTGCCAATAATCTTTATTCCCTCTACTCTGTAAGGGTAGGGGGCATACTAAATAAAATCCGTTTGTATGTTCATAAGTTCGCGTCTTGATTGGTCTGACATTTAAGTCACGTTGCTCGATCACAGAAGCTACATGTCTAGGTTTCTTCATGTTGGAATTTCGCAGCTGAACTTCATTTGTTTTGAAACGCTGTTGGCGTGTCAGAAACCAATAGAAATCGAAGTTTGGATACAAAGATTCGCCATAGGTATTTACAAAAGAAAAGTTAGAATCTACTGTCTTTGCACTCTGAAACACTATCCTCGATCACGAAACAATGAGTAGTCACAGCGTTAAATACCAGCATGCTGATTCATGTGATGATTGATCAAAATCAGCAAGACAGCTAAAATTGAACTGAAATAACGGGCACCGCATGATAGTGTGAGAGTTTGCACCTCTCTACAGAATGCATCAGCTGCATTCAATCAGATTTATTGTTGGCTTTCTCAATCAGTCAAGTGAATTTATTATTGTGTTCGTTTTCTGAAAGCGTGGGCTATTCATACTAGGTCGTTTGTATTTGCTTGTCTATCCCACTACTTAGGGACTAGTAGATGCTCAAGATTTAAAAAAAAAACAATTAGTAAAACAGGACACTGACAGGTAATAAGCCGTCAAAATCTGTTTCTTGTGAAATGAGACTTGATTACAGGTGAACAAAGGTAAAAATCAACGCAGAAGTTGTTGTTTGTATCTGAGATTACTGTCTCCGCAGCTTACTTCTTAAAAGTAAGCGAAGACATCATGTTCAACATTCAGGTACTATATTTTGGTCAGAATCTCACGCAATATCCGAGGTCGAACATTACGACGACCTGATATGATCATAAACGGCAACGCATACTACCGTTTTGTAACGTTTCCGACTGTAAAGCGCTGTAATATGGTCGAATATTTCAGTATCCGACGTATCCGATCGTTTATGGCACAATGCAAAACGACCGTAATACTGTGCATACCAAACGGCCGTAAATTATGTTTAAACGGTCGTGTACAACACAAGTTGATCGACCTGGGACTCTGCTCTTTTTCTAAGCCTTTTTTAAAAGAAAATGAATAGGATCTGTAGCATTTGTTTATCTATTCAGTGAATCAGGAACTACGTGATTAGCATAGTCGACTGATATATTTGGTTCGTTAGTGCTGTCATTATAGAGTAGAGACTTACTTCACTCTTATGAATCAGGACACAACCAAAAGCAATAGACTCTCACAGGTGAATTTCGCATGGCCGATGCTAACTTTGGTATGATCGAATTGAGCACACAATAAAGGATGAATCCATTCAGTCGGAGGCAAAGCGTTGTTAAGCAATGAACGTTACTTGCAGTTAGCCACTCTCGAACACTAAAACTTAGTCACAGAAACTTAGTATTAAAAAAAAGCACTCTCCATCACAGTCGCTTCATAAGCCATTCTAGTAGAAATAATAGAATAGATATTTCAATTTTAAAAAAAACTTTCTACTCTTTTTAATTTTATTAATATATTTTTTCTTTTATTTTGAAAATTTTGAAAATTTTTCCTTAATATTAATTTTTTATTTTCCTCAATTTTTTAAGTTTTAATTTTTTCATAAAAATTTTAATTCTTTAGTTTAAATGTTTTATTTTGTGTGCTTAAAAATTTTTCTTTTAACTCAAAATAAAAAATACAACTAAAATGAAAACATAATCTATGTAATCTGTTGTAAGAATTGTGGCGAAATTGTGCCCTAACTGTAAAGGCACTTACCAGTAATTGGCAAAAACTGCGACTCAGTTACGCGCAACTATGATTTTTTCACCGTAACTACGTCGCAATTTTCCATAATTATGGGTCACAGTGCGATCGCAGTTTCATCGTAATGAAACACATGGGAGGCTATACGAGAAAAGCAAGGCCTACCTATTACAGACACTAGTAACATAGGGATAGGGGCTATCATTACAGACCTTAGCAACTATTTTCTGCTATCGTTACAGATACGAGCTAACAGGTAATCCCCTATTACGGACCAACGTCAATAAATAATGCTCTAATTATAGATTTTGGAAACTAAGGTAGACTTTTCACTTGAACTATTTTTAGTTATTTTAGTAAATCTAAGGGCTCTATGTGATTTTCATATTTTAGCCCCAACAAGGCTACGCTAACAAACGTTTTTCATGTCAACCACAATTGCGATGCACAAATAGCTATTCAAGAAGACAATATTCTTTCTTAACCTTAGTTTCGTTTCTATCTAGCCCTCGAACTCGACATTGAATACTTCGGAAATATTTGCTAAGGATAAGCACAGGATAATCGTTGTTCAGATACTGACTAGTTTAAAATTTAATAAAATATTTTGATAAAGCACAGAAATCATTTAAGCCTATTTAACTATTTTCTTCGAGATACTCTGTGCTATCGAGTTATCTAATTCATGTATCGCAATATATTGAAACTCGCGTCAAAATAAAATTTTTGTGGCACATAACAATACATACTTTTAACTAACAAAAATTCACTTCGTTTGTTAATGTTTCAGTCGTAATCTTTGCGGTTCTCTGAAAGGAATGACTTTTAAGCTTTGTTTATTTTTAAAAAATAAAAAATGACGCGGCATATATTTTAATGTGTTTTTTTTTCTTATAAAACAAAGAAGAAGAAAAGCAAAGTATTTTTATTCAAAAATGTTTTTCTGAGAACGACAATTTTCATTATGTGACGATGATATTTATTGACGACATGTAGAAGCTGCATCTTTTCTTCTTGAGTACCGTCGTAACGACGCCATTCAATAGAAGAAAGAAAACGACTTGTATTAAAGTATGCCTTTATATATGCCAATGAAAATGGAATTTTTGTCGCCTACTTCACATCCGAATTGAACATGGAACCATCATTCCACCATCATGAAAACTCATCATTTTGAAATTATAATTACTCAAATGAGATTGGAATCTCATGATAACTAAGACAATTTAACAACAGATAGAATATAATAAAGATAAATATTATCATTAAGGTTCTCAGTGGTATTTGAATGTCTCGTAGTCTAAGAATATGTGCGGATAAAGCTAAGAGAAATTACTGAAATATTTATTTACTTATATTCCAGTCAACGCGTTATAGACTAATTTCTGGTAAATTTCGCACAGAATTTATCTCGAATCCTTGCTGAGGATTGTGAAAAAGTGTCCCACCCACAAAAATCAACAGTAAGGAAACAGTGATTTTCTTCTCGCGTAAATATAAAATTCAGTTAAATAATAAAAAGTTCTTTTTACAGGAATGCTCAGCGTTACATAATTATTGATATTGATCTAATTAGAAAAAAATATAACTTTATTCTGATCTGCAAGCTTAATTGCATGACTATATCTTTGATTTGTGAACAAATGCCACGCAAAAACAATGTTTGAAAACTATCAGGTAGTCCTGCAGAGTTCTCATAGGTTTCAGAGAGCTGCTCACTAATTCTACAAGGAAGAATATACTAGAACTCGTTCTTCGTATATTATGCTGTATTGTCGACTTGGTCGAGATTCCATTTGTTTGTTGTTCTATAATGAAAATTATTATCATGTGTCTCGACATGATTAGTTAAACCAACAATTTATATTATATGCCTACGAATTAGGCTTCGATGAGGCTGAAATAAGTTGTCACAGATTCAATCACATTTTGTATCGATGAAAAGTTATTTCCGTTGAAATGAAATTCTTACTGAGACTAATAAATGTCTTTGATTTCCAAATCGACGTAATTATTGTATTGAATATAGGGGTGTCACATTTAAATTTAAAAAAATTTATTAAATCAGGAAATAAATTTTCAAAATTTAAATTTAAAATAAATTAAATTTTTTTTAAATGAAAAGTTAAATTTAAAATAAATTTAAATTCAAGAAATAAAAATTTTGTATCCTTTAAATTTAACTAAATTTAAATTAAATTGTTTGAAATTCAAATTAATTAAATTTTGAAAACTAGCAGATAAAAATAGTTTTTGACTTGATTGCTACTATTTAAAGTCAAATTTGAGTATTTTTCCTGTTTTCTAAAGTTAAAACTAGTCATTCTTCTATGAATTGTGCTATTAAATATATTTTTATGAGTATCCCAGTATTCTGAAGAAGAAAGATGACGGATCCTGCATAATCTGTAGAGAAATTTTGACTATTATGAATAAATATTAATCTAAAACACTAGGTTCTCCTCTCATTTAGTATTTACTACTGTTAAAGTCACATATTTCTCTCGTAGCAATGATGTGTATCCATCCAAACAATTTATTAAATTTTAAATTTAAATTTTTGTATCAGAAAAATTCTAATTTATTTTAAATTTAACTTGATAGAATTTAATTTTAAATTAAATTAACTTTTCACGAAGTTAAATTTAAATTAAATAAACTGTAAATTGACACCCCTAGTCACACATGTCTCTGCATGAGCTCATTCCATTCAACATGGTCGATAACCTCTGACAAATTGCTCTCAGTTTTTCCGGTACCAGTTTTAAAGAAAAAACTGCGATGAGCAAAGGAGAAACTTATTTGCGTTTTTCTCGAAACTGTTTTTCTTTTTTTTCATCGGCTGGTGAGTCAAAGATTTCTCCGCTGTTTAAAATTTTGAAAAGCTCGAGAAAGTTTCAAAGTGCGGCTAAAGCACATCACTACAATCTAACAAATTCAGATTTTTTCGATTAGGCTGTTTACAAAAAATCGATTTTTCTAAAAATTTAACCTAGTTCTTTTAATTCTTTTCAAAAACTGACTTTGCTAGTTTGTAGTGGCAAGTGTTCTCTGCATTTTGACACCGCTTCGAGGTCCGTTTAATTAAAATTTCAAAAAAATCTTTGACAGACGGAGACGGGTTTTTTCACCCTTAATGATAGGATAACTCTTGAAAAGCTCAATATCAGAGGCTTAAATTTTTACTGAAAACTATCTAAGATCATACACATATTCAATAAAAAATTCACTGAGATTGAGTGCTTTGGGAAATACTAGATTTTTGAGGAGTGGGGGGGGGGGCTTAACCAAAAGACCTCAACATTTAGTGCCAGTGCGATTGCATGGAATCAGTTATAAGTTTTATCATTCAATTTGCAAAGAAAAATGATTCATTTTGTAAGTTTTGTTTTCATCGATGACCATGTGAATAGTACCTATTCAAGTCTTCGGCATCTTTGATTTTTACCACTGTATGCGTTCGAATGCACAATAAAGCTCGAGTTTTCTTCTTTTGATTCTTCATATCTGAAATTTTTTGAAGAAGAGGGTAAAGGAACTGTCGGCGCATCAGATATGAAGACATTCTTTCAGGTTAAAGATGGTCCCATTATCCAGTATAAGATTCTTCCGAAAAAGGAAACAAACATAAAGGGATCTTCAAAAATTGTAGATTAATACCAATGTATCGAATATATTAGTGCACTATCCTTGATGGGAAACTCTAGCATTGCAGACTAGTCTTGCGCTTTTGCTCTGCATTTCGTGGAAATTTAAACCAGTTTTGACGCTATCGTTGCATGTTTCAGAATCGCGTGGATGACAGTAGTTGGCGGCATGGATTAGACGTGATGCGTTTTCGGGCAATTTTGATAAGTTTGAATGTGAAGATCGACATATTCCCCAGAGATGATTAGACATGTCGACTACTTCGGAAACTATGTACTAGACTAGAAATGTCTGCCGTCATGACATTTCGTAGCTTCTATGGATGCACACGAATTTGTTGTTGTAATGTTCGCAGTATTATAACTTGACTTTTAATAACTTGTAGCACTGATTTATAGACAAAACAAAAAGCTTATGCATATTTAACTTCCATTGCTGCTTCCCAACCCTTACTCTCTGCTAAATGATGAGTCATTTAATCCTTCGGTTGCTTGTTCAGAGTACAGACGTTGCAGTTTTGTTTTAAACCGATATATTAATATTTTTATTAGGCATTCCGGGGTGCGTTGCCAAGACTGAAAGGAATTCTTCAGCGCACGTTTAATGAAGTCGAGAAAAAATATATGGATGCATTACGAATTTTCGAGCTTCAAGATCCAGAAAAACTAAGAAAAAGTTACCTTGAGTTCATCAGTAGTTTCGAGCTAAATATGTGCCGATATGCTGCATATAAGTCCGAGATCTTTGACTCTTTTCCAACGAATGTCTGTGGAAGGACATACAATGAAATTGAAGATAGTTGCGTGAACTCATGGAACCGATATAAACAGCTCACATGGCGTGCATACCGCAGCATAGATCAACTTGCACAAACAGATGATGCAAAGCACCTTCAGCTTGACCTAAAATTGGTCGGTGTGCGTCATTTTGATCGACTTAATCGGATATTTCATTATCTGGTTTTCAGTTATGAGCCAGCAGACATTACAGATGATGGAATACAATCGGCCGCTGGAGCGCTCTACGGTGGTATTGATGGCTACGACAACCTTCAGAAAGCTGTACGAGAGTGGGTTCGCAAACATGTACTCAATACATTCAGTGTGGGTATCGCGTGGCTAACCCAAATGTACATTTATTTGCTTGACATGTTTAGAGAGAAGGTGAAGAATTACTTATTAGCACCCGGCAGGTATAATCACCTCGCAAAACATACTATTTTTCTCAATGGCATCGACCTTGAATATCACAAGATAGTGAGACCATGGATTCGAAAAGCTGTACGCGCGATTCGTGATACATGCGATTCAATGAGTGAGTATGCTCACCATGATATTACTGCTCGTTTGAAAAAAATTGTCTTTTCCATTCCTACAAGTATCGAGCATAAACTATTTGATCAACCATTGAACAATATTTTCATTCAAACTGAGGACGATAAGAAGTTAAATAAATATACTCCAGCGACTATTTCTGATTTATTTAAATCTATTCCTGCGCAGAAAATACTCGATCACATATACGGGTCTGAATCATACTTAACACAAAATCGCAATCCTCAAACACTGAATCATCATGTGAGCGGGCGTAATATAATTATGGAGCTTTACCGAGCAAAATGTGGATTTATTATCTATAGTGCTCTGTCACAGTTTAATAGCAATGTTGTCATACGCATTCAAACATATAGTTCGATGAAGACTTTGCATACTTCTGTTGACCATCTGTCACTTCACTCTAAACTTGATCGGATGCCGCTTGACCAAATTAGTCATATGGCTAATGTGGATCGCAATGCAACACTTCTTGAACTTGAGGATCTAGAAAACGAACTCGGTCGGATCGTGGTTACACAAAAGCTTGTCAATAATGCTATCAATGCTATGTCCTCATCACAATTGATGTCAAGCATGAATGAACGTTCACAACAGCAGGATCATGAAAGTGCAAGAGAGAGTGGACGGCGTCATGTGGAATATTTACGAGAAAAACGTAACTATGCCAAAACTGCAGCACAAAACGAGCAACCTGGTTATCGGAGATTATCGGCAAGTAACGACAACACAAACAGCTTGGACATGGATGAAAATGCGTTGATGACGGAAACAGACGAGACAAGAGCTAGATTTCTTTTACTGAGACTCCTTCAACGACACGATGAGGAGGACCTTGGGTTGGGCCTCGAATCGAAAGATAGTCTCAAACAAGATGAATTAGATCCATCATCGTTAGCACATGCGTACATAGATAATGAAGCGTTAGATTACAATGCTGCAACAACGAAAGCTGCAGCAGCGCTAGCTACAATTCGTCCGAATCCTTAACTTATAATAAGACGCCCTAACTTCCAAATTTTCAAAATACCAGTGAATCACAAGCAGTTACCTGAACCTCACTGACTTATGCTCGCAACACTCACTAAAATCCTCTTTTAAAAGTCTTAATAACACACGTTCCATGAGCTTATTTGGTATCATGTCTAATGTCCAAGCTCTCGTCAAATTTTAGTTTTATTTTAATTTTATATTCTCATCTTTTTCAGCATCCTATAAAACCTCTAAATCTCAACTTCTAGCGCATCTAGACAATCTGGTGAATAGCTACTCTTGATCGACTTCTAAGGATGAGGGTGTGAGTAAGGGTGTGGGTGTGTTCAATAGGATAGTTATATTCGAAGGTACAATACGACTGGTTTCGGCTCTTGCTTAAGAAGTCATCATCAGGTATCTTAAGAATCTAAAACCACATAGTTCGCAATATAATAAAATCATTAATCTACTCTTCAAACAAATAAAAGTCAAAATATAATTTCCAATAAAGGAGACAAATCATAAATCAATTGAATTCGAAAGAGTACGATTAATACAAACGATCTTATTCATCCATTTTCGTAGTTCAAACAAGAGTGTGTCCCATAGGACGGAGTTAGATTCAAAGCTACAATGCGACTGGTCTCGGTAAATCAATTCAAAAACAGATTAACCTATCTCTAAACGAAGATGCAAATCAATCTGCTACGCTCAACCCTTACTCTTCAGTAATCAATCAAAAGTCGAAAGCTAAATAGTGAATATGCTTTAATTAAGAAAAAATACAGAGCTTAATTTTGCCGACGCGTCTCGTGTCTTTATTAATATATTGAAACACTCATCAGGGCTCTGCGTGACATATTTTAAGCAAAAAGAGGAAAGAAAGGAAAGAAATAAACGCAAAATATGAACGATTATTGACAGAAGATGGACAGTCAAAAGGTAAATTGATACGAATCTTTTGAACAGCTTGGAAGCCCAAGTGGATGAATCCTACACCGGATCCTATCGGATCTGGTAGGATCCGACCATCTGGCAGAATCCGATGGGATTCCGGGTAACGGATCGACTGTCAGTTCCCACGGAAAAAGTATTTTCTTATTTACGAGTGAATAAGCATTTTATGCCAACAGAACACAATGGTTACGCGGGGGTGTTGGATTTCGATGAATTCCGACATAAGATCTTATCGGATTCCAACACTATGATCTTACAGTCGATTCGTCACCCGGAATTCCATAGGATTTCATCGTTTTATTGAATTCCTTATGAAATCCGATGAGATTTCTGTCGGAATTCGATAGGAACCTCCCATCGGAACGACTCTCCTGGGAAGAGATAAATGGAGAAACTAGTAACTCAAAAAGAATATTATATTTGTTCGCCTTATTTGTATTTGAAATTGCCACACTATTGAATTTAAGTTTAAATTTAGTTTTGATGATCTTTACGATATGTATAATTGTAACGGTTGGAATAAGCAAAACAAATCGAAACAAATCAAAATAACCAAAACAAATTAAAGCAAATAAAGATAAATCGTTCCTCACGCTTTACCAGTACAGATAAAACGTACTTTTACAGATCAATCGTCCCTATTAATTCACAGTATACAAATCCCTATAATTTAACTCATGCATCCAATTGGAGGGGTGAAACGGGTAGTAACATGCTACAAAGTAGTACTAATATTCAAAATCAAATGGAACTCAATATTACAATGTATCAAGGAGCAGAAGTCATCATTAGCAAAGAAGACAAACAAGATGAGTATCAATATCCTTATCGTCATGCCCGGAAAAGAAGAAACGAACATGGTGAAGGAGAAGGTTTAACACAATCCACAGGTACACCTAAACGAAGGATTATGGAGAAAATTAACAATATTGATCATGCTCCGCTTGAAATCCAGGAAGAAACAGGAACATCTTCATACTTCAGCAATCATCGAACATTTCGGAAACAAACAAATGAATCATCAAGTAAAAAACAACAACAACAACAACAACAATATCGGGAATCATTTCCACCCTGTCGTATCAAACTAAAAGAGGATAATTATCCAGTTCAAGATGTTACCATCATCAAGGAATTAAACAAGAAATGCAAAGTAAAATTAACATATGGTCGCATGTCTAATAGAAACAAAGAGAAATACTACTTACTGTACTGCAACACAGCAACACAGTAGAGATGCGCAGGGTAAGCTTTTCTCTTACCCTGTACCTGGGTGTGGGTGTGAATCAGGAGAGAACAACACCCCACACTCACACCCTAGTTTTTATTTCCTTGACGGATGAATTCAGTTATTTAATACCGCTTATTCAGGATCTACCTCAAATTCTGTATATATATATATATATTTATTCGAACTTGCCAGAGAATGTTTCTTATTCGGGTACTAATTATCGCAAATTACGATGCATTAATAATCAACATTTATCCAATCCAGATCAGCAACTATTGAAAGATATCGAAATGTTTCAACGAGGTTTGTCATCTAACCATGTAAATCATGCGATAAAACAAAAAACCAAACTATTAATTCAAGAGCCAATCATTATCGAAGAATATTTGGCTCTTTGGATTGCAGATAATAATTTCATTTGATTTTTGAAATTTATTTAGAACAAAAAGTCAATGAACCAAATACAACAGTCTAGTAATGATTGATAATCAAATGAATATATGGTTAACCCTACTTTGGTCGAAAGTAAAAATGTCGAAAGGTAAAAATTTCGACTGATAATGTTAAAAAACTTCTTATTTTAGTTCTGTGCGTGTAAAAGATTAAAAGATTTTTTTGTTTAAAAAGTTTTATTTATCGAAAAAACGTTCGGAGCAAAATTTTTGTTTAAAAATGCGGAATGATGCTCGATGATAACTATTCTTCAGCCGTAGATTGGGTTTCTATATGTTTCTTTTTTGCTCCAACAACTAATGATAAACCAGTAAGTAGATCTGATGAGTTGAATGACGTTTGATTTTGATTGATGATGATGATCACATTTACCTCCGTATAAATAAACATCATTTTTATCCGTGTGGAATACCATTTGAGCATCCACTAACAATACAAATCCAATATTTTTTACGGGCCGTCTTCTTATTACATTTGTATAATTGTTCATTCATAACTAATAATGGGTGACCTTTATTTGATGTAATGAAGGATAAATTTTTACTTGCATCAAAACTTGAATCCGGAAAAATCGACATGCTGTTTAGCAAAGTTTTACTATTGAATATTTTTTCTATAATCCTTACGACAAAGGCGTCTTTTGTTAAATTTTAGCCGACAAAGACAGGAATTCAAGCGAAGAAATGAATGGGTAACGTAATCAACCAATAACTATAATCATTATATAAATGTATCTACCAATCGTTTGATACAGCTATTTTCGTTGTTTTTATACTTAGAAAACTTTTCCTGTCGACATTTTTCTCGTTCGATATATCTACTTTCGACATTTTTACCTTTCGACCAAAGTAGGGTAAACCGAATATATTGACAATTGTCGACGAAAATTTTTATTAAATAACGAAAAATAAAATTACTAAATTATTATTCATAATTATTTCATTCATCATTCATAGAAATGATTTTAAATTTTCTCTTTCATTTTTATTTCTAGTTTTCGTTTTAGATTATAAAAAGGTTAATTTTTCTCTAATTATGGACTCCCATGATAACCAAAAACAATCCATTATTATTACAAATAAGAATTTCAATAGAACTAAATCAGGTCGAAAAGAAAAAAAATCTAGAAAGAAGAATCGGAAATTCTTTCAAAGAACTAAATCCTTTGGAAATAGTCTTTATCAAAAACTATTAAATAAAGATATGAATGGTACTCAAACATTTCCTATGTTAGAATTGTCTATATTCAATAAAAGTGATTATCAATCATCTATTCGATCAGCTACAGATCTCACTAGGTATTTGAATGATTATTCACTTGCATCAAATGAAATTTTCAAAAAAAAATTCTTGGAATTATTGATGAATTCATATGAAAGACAATGTTACATTGAATTATTCAATAATGAAGAAGTGTTAACATTTACGCGAGAGTTAACACAACAAGTAACGTTCATCGACATCGAAAGTCGATTCGCTGGACCATAGACTGACAGTGCTGAGGAGAAGAAATGCATGGACAGAAAATCCGTTGTTTGTGCCAGTAGCTGTTGGCGATATTTTTTAACAGATCTGTAAACGAAGTGGGAATAAGTGAAACTGAAGTAAGAATTAGACGAAAATTAAAGGTTTCAAGTAAAAGCACTAAAAGAGAAGAGAAAACGGACAGAATGGTACTCAAAAGCGCATAAATCGGCGGAGAGGTTGAATGTTACCTAGCCAAAAAATACGCAGTCTGGAAATTTCGTGAGGGTAAGCTCAAAGTTCCGTAGGGGGATCAGCTCACCCCTCCACTCAAGACATATCCAGAGCGGACTGTTTTCCGTGACCATGTCATGGAGTCGCCTATGGCTTCTGCCGTATCAATGCCCTAGGGGCCATCAAAATGGTCATTTGAACCATAGAAATGGCCATTTTGTACCGTTCCAATGGTCATTTGTGCCATAAAATTGGTCATTTGTGCCATAGAAATGGTCATTTGTGTCACAGGAATGATCATTTGTGTCATTGTTACAGACAGACAGACATAGGTGAATTACGGTTTCTAGACCCTATCCTTTCAGTCTAGGGAACATATAAATCAATTAAATTACTTCAATTTACAATATGATCAAGGGGCATATTATCATCAACTTGGCCAGACAGAAGGTATTTGATATGGACGTATATCAAAGAAAATGGCTATGGTCAATTCTATGTGTGTGAGTTATGGTCGTGGAAAAGCATTAATTCGACAGCGTCAAAAATTTTTCAAAAATAAAATTGTTAATTATAAAATTCAAGTTGAACAATATGAAAAACAAGCACCCTTATCCATCGATTTAAAAGAACTTGAACGTATGATCAATAATTTTATTAAACAAGATCAATATCGATTACCCATCGAATTAGAACAACAACGTCATATGTTAAAATTTGATGCTCAAGATCATCGATTAGTCGAAACTTTCTATCAATTGAATGCAAGAAAAATTGAGGTTCGTTTATATCTATTTGATTAGTTTTCAATATAATTTCATCTAATATGACATCATATTGTTATTTCTTCTAGATCTCTTCAACTAAAACAATCTGGAAAGCTACTCATCATTAACAATTATTAAGATGTGAACTTACTCTTTTCAAAAAATGAATGTCTCTACCAGTAGCATCAGTGGCAATGGATACTTTCATGGAATTAGGCTTGGTTAAAATGAATGAAATTTTTACGTTTATTCTTACAAATAAAGTATTATTCAATTCTATGTCGACAATAATCGTCAATGAAATTTCATTGAAACAATTGGTATTTGAATCAATGAATGAAGCTGTTATTATCATTGAAAAAAATATTCAAGCTTATATTGAAATAGCAACTGCCGAAAAAACAAAAAAATTAAGTCAAAAAAATAAATTTAACAAATTACCAACAGTTGAGACTGCTATGAATGCTATTGAAAATCGTCAACGAAATATGGTTCAACGTGCTCAATATTATAGGCATGCATTTAATGTAATATCTAAAAATATATCAATCCATATCTAAATTATATCAACATTGCCTAACTTAATACAGTAGTATCTATTCTGGTGAAACGATACCTTTAAAAAAATTGTTTAACCTAATTTTATAATTCAACATCTTTTAAATCAATTGAATATCTGAATTAAAAAGGTTCTGTCTTTTAATCCAATTAAATATCTGATTTAAAAAAGGTGCTCTCTTTTAATTCAATATATTATCACTTTTAACAAATGACAATCAATGAATTTATCGACTTATCTAATTAATTTGAACGTAATCTATAATTAATAAGTACTTATCAATTAATTGAAAGAGTATATATGAGCTAGGAATGACGATAAGTGATCAGACAAAAGTTAGATTAAAAAATATTTTAAAAATGGCAGAAGCATTATCAGATGATGATAAATCAGATTCAATAGACTCCGTTGTACCAGCTGACAAAGAAGAAGCAACGGATGACGATAGTGGTGAGGGTGATATTATTAACTCAGCTAAGAAGATAAGAGCATCCGACTTATCATATGAAAAAGTGAACGTCTTCTCTGATGGCAAATGTGCTGAAGAGGAGGCTGTTAATTATAATAATTTCAAATGGACTTGCTGTAAAATTAATGATACAGAGCAAGGAACCAAAAAATATTATAAATGCAACTTTAAACGTGGTTCAAATTGTCCAGCAAAAATTTATTTATTATTTCATGCAAACAACTTTGAAGTAACATTATTTCAAGCAATTATCCAACATGATCACACAACAGAAAGCGAACAAATTGGTATTCGAATTGAATTAAAAAATGTTATTGTTAAATTATTTCAAAATGGATACACTACACCGAAAGCTATTTTATCTGAACTTGATAAATTGAAAATAATACAACCAAAGGCATCGCAAATTGCAAGCTTTTTGGCAACTCTTCGCAAGAAATTATATGGTCCAGCTCAAATTAGTTTAAATTATATTAAAAATTGGTGTATTGGAAAATCTATTGTTCCAAATGATCCTGATGAATGTTTTGTCGCTAATTATTATATCAAAGATGACGATGACGATCCATTATTTAGATTATTTGTTACAACCAGAAATTTAATAAAAAATTGTTTAAATTCAAATCATATATGTGCAGATGCAACTTATAAATTAATATGGCAGGGTTATCCTGTATTGATTGTGGGTACTACTGATAAACAGTGTGCTTTTCATCCATTTGGTATTGCGTTATGTATAAATGAGAAAACTAGTGATTTTGAGTTTATGTTTAAAAGTGTCCAATTAACTGTTGAGAAATTATATAATATTAGTTATTGCCCAATTATATTAGTTGCTGATGCATCTGGAGCTATAACCAATGGTTTTATTAATGTATTTAATGTTGTTGAAAAAAGAATTATGTGTTGGTTTCATGTAACGAAAAATATTGATACTCAATTAAATGCTATTAAAGATAAAAAAAAATGAAAGCAGAATTAAGACGAGATATTGAATTTATGCAACTTATTAAAAATGAAACAATTTTTGATGCAGCAATTAAATTATTCCAACAAAAGTGGAAAGCAAAAGAATGTCCGCTAATTAATAATTTTATTGATTATTTTATAAATGAATGGTATATGTCAAATAAAGGATGGTTCGAAGGCTTTGCTATTGGTTATCCAAGTTCTAATAATGCATTAGAAGCAACAAACGGTACAATAAAATCTTTATATACATTTCGAGAACGCTTACCTGTTGGTGAATTTTTATCAGTTCTCGAAAACGATATTATTCATCAATTATCAAGAGAACGCAATACTGATGATCCAATTACATCACAAAATGTAAAAGCTTTCGCAAATGTTCCATCTATAAATTTATCACTTTGGACATCAACTAATCACTGGATAAAAGAAGAACGAGAAGTTATAATCATGAAAAATAATGATGAAAAAAAATGCATTTTATTAAATCATCTTCATTTCAAGACAATCATGAATATTTTAATAAAGAATTCATGAAGAAGTTATTATATAATCAAAAAAACGTTAAATGGTGTGATTTTGATATTATGAAAAATGAACAATTATCATTTTGGGAATGTGAATTTTTAAATGAAAGTGAAAATTGGACAAAAAGTACATGTTCTTGTCCAGCTTGTTTAAAGTATTATATTTGTAAACACATTATAGGCTTAGCAGCACGATACAAATTATGCAGCATCCCATTGGAAGCTAAAAATATTCCATTGGGACAAAAAAGAAAACGAGGGCGTGTTGCTAAAGCTAAAAAAAGCATTAATTGTGCAATAGTTTTCTCTTTTTGCTGTGTTTTTTTTGTTATAATTGATAATTGTATCCTTATTTTTTTTCTATTAAATTAATTATTAATTTGATATAACTTTGTGTTGTTAGATAGTGTTACTTAATAAATTAGATATAAATTTATTTTAAAATTAGATATGGATTGCTATATTTTTAGGTATGAGTTTATATTTACCCCATTCATGATGTCCCATAGGCTTATCGCTCGTTGGCGTCATTCGCTATTCGAATAATTTCTTTCCAATCCCTTCGGTCTTTCGCAAGGTGGAACGGGTCTTGTCCGCTGTATCCACACCATTCGATTATATCGTCCATCCATTATATAGGCGGCGGAGCCATTAGGCTCGCGAGGCTCAAGCCTACCCTAAGCTCGAAGTGGGTAGACCTTGATAGACTGAAACTGGAACAGATGAATGTTTGTATAAGTTGCTATATGCAAAATGGTTTTATTCTTGTTCAGTTTTGGGACTTTTCTAACAAATAACGCATTATTACAAGATCATTTCATATTTTTTCTACTAGTAACTCGTTCGCAATGAAGTATCAGTTGAACGTTTTTGGCATTAAAATTGGCATCTAATTCGTAATTCTTAGTTTAAGATAGCTGAATTGTTTCTGTAACTTCTGTTTAAAATTACTTTTAAATCTTAGACACTCGAATAACATTACTTGTGCGGCACAAGTTATGCCGTGCAGAAATGCGAGCTAAACAAAAATGATTAAAAGACGATCAAAATCGTATGCTTATAGTTGGCACTTAAAGTGCTTTTAGTCGATTTCAGTCTGACTTCAACTCTATTTTTTTTCAATCGTGAGACTTGATTTGTCCAAAACGTTGAGCCTACCCTAGATCGAAATCGTTCCGCCGCCTATGATCCATTCTCTACATGGACGTCCTCTTCGAGGTTTTCTGTTTATTCTTATGAACACAGTGTGTTTTATTAGCCTGTTATCGTTCATTCGACAGATATGGCCAAACAATCGCAGTTTCCTTCTTTTGATGTTATCTATGATGGTCTCTTTTCTTGCTATCTGTTTTCTTATCATATCTTTCCAGCTGATTCTTAATCTCCTTCGATAGCATTTCATTTCGAATCAAAGACGTGCACAGGACAAGATTTTTTGTCCTGTCCTTACCTGTCCTGCTGGCTACTTTGGTCCTGGCGGGCGTCATGACAGGACAAAAATCGAAATCTCATCCTGTCCTCCAGGACAGGACAGCAGGACCGCCCTGTCCTGTGCACGTCTCTGATGCGTATAATAGCACACTGAAAACACATGTTGTTAGGGTTCTTATATTATCTTCTTGCTATTCCATATACTTTTTAGTGCAGCCATTGCCCCTATTGATTTGCCTATTCTTCTCTTGATTTCATCGCTACAGTTGTTGTCCCATGTGAGCAGGGACAGNCCCCCCAACTTTGGAAATTTTTGTTTCAATTTTACTCCGATTTGAAGAAAATAGAAGAGATTTTTATTAATTTACTCCGATTTTTGAAAAACAACCTCCCGTTTTCAAGTAACCCCCCTATATTTTTGTTGCTTCGTGCCGTCCCTGCATGTGAGTAGACTATGAAGATACTCGAATTGTTCTACATTTTCGATTATGTTTCCTGCTATTTGAACATGTTTTTCGATATTTCTGTCACCAAATACAAGTGTTTTTGTTTTCTTTGTATTCATGAGTAGTCCTGCTTCTTCGGCTACTACTCTTAATTGTTCTATTTGTTGATGAAGTGAGTCACAATCTTCTTCTAGGACATCAATGTCATCGGTGAACTGTAGGTTGTTCACTAGTGTTCCACTGATATTTATTCCTCGATTTATCTGCATTGCTTTGTCCATTACTCGTTCGAGATATGTAATGAACAGTAGTGGTGACAAAGGATCTCCTTGCCTGCTCCCAACACTTGTTTGGAACCATTCTCCTGTTTCTTTTTCTACTCGAACGGCTGATTGTGCTTTTTCATATATGTGTTTTCGACTCCGTATGACTTGAGAACAGCCCATATAATTTTGTGTTTTATTGTGTCAAAAGCTTTTTGGAAGTCGATGAAGCAGTTATATATCTTTTTTCCTTTTTATGCAAACAACCTGAGTATTAGAATTTGGTGGACAGTACTTCTGTCTTGTCTGAATCCTGCTTGTTCTTCCGACAAGTATGGATTTAGATGGCGTTTGAGTCTGTTCAACAGTACTGTCAGTAGGATTTTTCCTGTATGGCTTATGAGTGAGATTGTTCGGTAGTTTGCACATTCCCTGAGATCACCGTTCTTTGGTATTGGTATAAGGATTGATTTCCCCCATTCTTCTGGTATTACTCCCTCATGCCATGTTTTGTTACATAGTGAGTGGATTTTAGTGTTCGAATTGCTTCTTCTACCTCCGAAATTAAACAATGTTTTTAATGGTATCCTTTCACCAGAATAGATACTACTGTATTAAGTTAGGCAATATTGATATAATTTAGATATGGATTGCTATATTTTTAGATATTACAGTAAATGGATGCCATCATGAATTATCTCTACAACGCTCGATTACATTTCTACATAACTTACAATGATAATTCTATCAAGTGTAACTATTTCACAACTGATTTATGTATAGTATGCGTGATCAGACTGGTTCAAAAGATGTTCTATGATTATTTAAATTTTTTTGTTTTTTATTGAGCTATTTAAGAAAATGGTTGACACAAATAATTTAATTATCATATAAACTCATAAATTCATCGAAAAATATATCAATAAACTAGCGAATGCTAGGCAAAAGAGATACAGACGCTCATCTAAAATAATCGACGGGTCGCTATTATAAAAACAAAGAAGAGAAACATAAATCCTGTTGCTTGATCTTCTACTCGAGATTGTTTGGATAGCTGATCTTGATAGAGCGCAAACACATTTCAATGACAATACTTTCACTGATAGTAGAGCATGTCATCAATTCTTCCTCTTCTTATCGCTGTATCAGGGCAAGATGCCTCCTTAGACATTTGCTCTAATGTCAAAAGATGAATCATAAGAGGTGATAAAAAGAATACCGTAGACTCTTTCTGTCGATGCATCTATTTTACAGCGTAGCTATAGCTATATATATATATATATATATATACGCTATTAAAAATACAAGATTTTGACCGGTATACACTAATTATTCATGTCCCCGTCATATACAAGTACAAAAAGAACGGAGAAAGAACAGCAACAGAAGTATTTTTCTATTATTCTGTCGGGTTCATCATTAAAAAAACAACGATGTTAGCAGTGCACAGCTTATGTGCGACTAAGTCTTAAGAATATTAACTCAACAAAGTATTGGACTTTGTTATTCGCGACTGTAACGAGCGAATATTAGTCGATATCAAAAACTCGTGATTGCAATAAAATGCGCGTCCAATCATCAAACGACATGGTTATGTAACTTGTTTCCGGTCTTTTGCTATAATTATTAAACTTAGATATTTATTTTTGACACGAGTATAATTTATCCTTTACGAGGTCATTGTTACTTAAATAATTACTTCCTAATCTCATTTTCTTCGTATAATTAATATATATTTAAAATATTTGACTTTGTTCACATCTAGATTTCGAAGTAAAATAATAATAATTATTAATAATATAGAAAAAGAACTTGAAATGATCGATGGAGCACTTCAGAATCGATTACTATGTTCTTCAACATCTGGCTTGTCTCAATATGTTCTAATATGATTTTTATTCTTAAATATTCTCTTGATTTATTTGCCATTCATCATAAAAATGATTAACTCAACGAGTCTAATGACACATATATAGCCTTTCATGTTATCAATAATTTTCACTAATAAAAAAAGATCAATTTTAGATAAGATATTCTTGCCAAATGTTACAAGAAAAAGGCATTTATCTTTTTTTCTACGGATTTGTGTAAACTATGTTGATATATATATATATATATATATATTTGAAAGCAACATAAATCTGGTTTTGTATCAAACTAAAATTAGTGAAAAAACAATAGCCAATGGAAAAGAATAAATTTTTCCTTGAGCATTGCAGCAGAAAACGATCAATTTCGCTGCATACGTTTTGAAGCGTAAAAAATATGACGTTATACAAAGTCAATGATGTGTTCCCTGTAGCATCGAAAACCAAGCAAATCACAATATTTATTGGTGCGATCAGTCGGTTGTCGTTGTTGAGTAGGCAATACGCTTTATCCTCATCCCACGCAATTATTCGGTTACATTAGTCATTGATTAGAGAATAACAAGATTAATCGAAGAAAATATTTTAATTTTTTCGATGAAGTTCCTCGCTCTCTACGAAACAAAAAGCGACATACCAAATAAGTATAATTGATTTTCATTTCTACCCTAAAACATAACGCATCTATATCTGGAAATCCAAAAATAATTGGTGCATTTCAGAAATTCAATCATTCTTTCTTTTTCACCGAACAATAGCTAAGCTTTCAATTAGTTTCATAACGCAGAAAGAAAAAAAAATCGATTTAGTTCAATTCTAATAATACGTCAAATTCATGTGCACTATTTGATTTTCCTTTTCGTTTGTTGCTGTTGTTGTTGTCAATGTGAAAATCGAATCAGATTTATATGTTTAGAATTTATCAATAATCTTTAGCATTTTTATATTAGCCTTTGAACAGGAGAATAACATTTTCATGTGTTTTTTCTCTCCAACGCATAAAACGATACAGATAAATAAAAAATACACTTTGTTGTTTATTTTTGTTTATATACATTGCATAATGTTTGCAATTTAACGAATACCTGTGTATAAATTTTCGACATCAGCGGGTAATCTTGACGGTTTTCTTCGGAGGACATTCAAAAATTTGGAAAATATACTTTTCGAATTAGCATTATATACCGATAGACTTTTCCGTACTGACGAACCAATTACTTTGTCAGTTCCGCCATCAGCAATATCGCCTGTATCATTGGTGATGGTTAGTCGACGTCGTTCTTCCTGACGATGTTGTTCACTGATACGAATTTGTTTCAACGTACCAGCAAGTAAATCATCGACTTTATCATTAATTGCTACGGATGTTTCAACAAATTTACATTCATATCGAAATGCTGCATGGCGAGCCGCTAAAATCACAAAAAAAGACGAAAAATTAACTTCTATTGAAATATGTTTAGCTTACTCTCTTTTGTAACTGCACGTTTTCGTACAAGATCTGATTTATTGCCAACTAGAATAATTGGTATATAGCGTTTTAGCGATGTTTCATTGTGGGTTGATTCTTTTTCGCGAACATTTTTTATTAATTGAACTGCTGTTTGAAATGATTGACGATCAGTTATTGAATAGACAACTAAGTAAGCATCACCAGTAACGCTAGATTTTATCTAAAGATTTTTATTTTGGAGATTTGTTCTTCGTTTGGAATAATAAAAATTTAAACATACGTGATCAACATCGATATTTATTATATGTAGACGCGATTCAACGCCATCGAGCATGATTGATACTGTATTATCAGGATCGTCTTCTGCATAGAAAAAAAAAACTATTTTGTTTTAAAATAAACTAACAAAATTATATCCTTTTGAATGTAAAATATTTTTAACATAATCATATTGATATACAGTAAAGTAAACAAAAAGATATATATATATTCCAACGATTTCTATGAAAGATGGTTTATCATTATGAAGTGTGACCAGAATTACTAAATATTCTTTTCTCACATTTCGACATGTCGTATATACTAATTTGCATGAGAATTAACATTAATTATCAGTAGTTTTACTATTTAGATATTAACATTGATTTTGTCACGATAAGTCTATGTCCGTCTTTCTTTTTCAAGTAAATTTTATGTGTAGAAAAAGCAAAATGGTTCACATCGGAGGCGGTTTTAAGAAAAGCATTAATGATGTACGACTATGAAAACGATAGGTTTTTATTCTTTTTCCTTTTGTCGCTCTTATTTTATCGTAATTTCTAAATGTTGGCAATGGCCTCCGGGATAAAACGATATGTTGTCAAACATTCCTTGAGAATTTCCTGATATTTATTCTACATGTTATAACGAGGAGATTTTATTTGAAATGACAGTCGTATTGATTGTCTGTTTATTTTTTGACAGTGCCAACTTCAATTAACAACAGGGACTTTATTTATTGAACAGAACAAGCCAACGAATCTTTTTCTTTTTATTGAATGAGATTGTTTGTCTATAATAAGATTAATAAAATCCTTGGATTACAACTTTAAAGAACATAGTTTCCAACTATAAAATAGAAACAAATCCCATTAACGAAAAGCGTCTCAATATTCTATTGTTGTCTTCTAATTCGTCATTAGTTCTTCATTGACATTGTATTATTCATCAGATGATGTCTATTACATCCGAACAATCTATCTATCTCGTTTGTTGATAATGATGTGCTTTTTATCATCTGCATATATATATATATATATATATACATGCATATGCGTAGCGTTGCCCTCAGCTATTAGGCAACAATCATTTCTATTAGATCATATGTATTAACTTACCAATTGAACTCGAATAATCATAGATTCCTCTATATTCTGTTGTTTTAAATTGTCTTAAAAGTGAACATTTTCCTGTGCCACTCATGCCGAGTAAATAGACTTGATAAACACGTATGTCTTGTACGTGACCATCTTCTGTTTCAATCCGCTCAACAATTTCATTATCGTCGTCATCATCATCATCATGGTCATCATTATTAGTAATTGGTGATGATGAAATATTTTCAATAGCTGAATCATTAAATTGATTATCGAGTATACCATTGAGATTAGGACCGCAGGGTGTCGTTTTAGTATTCGTAAGAGAATTTGTACTTGAACGTATTTCATTGTTTAAAACAAGAGAATCATTAATTTGTTCTTGCGATGGTGTTCGATCAGTTTTACGAAACGAACCTCGACGACTTATCGAACCACTTCGTTTAAATGACCGTTTAAATGAATCACTATAGCAACAAATATATTATTATTATTAGAATTTGTTATAAAGAAAAATAAATCAGCTTGTATTTTATTTATTGATTAATATTTACCCGCGATTAACAAATCCTTTTGATGTTGTATTAAATTGTCTTACAAGATAGATTTCTTCGTCGCCATCGTGAGGTATTTGCAATTGATCAAGTGGCAAAGAACCTGTTTGAGAAGACAATAATAGATTAGTTTTAACGTCTGTTGTCATGATCAATGAAGAAACTACAATAAATTTGACTGCAAATGCAGCTGGTGCATTCGTCATTTTATAGCAAACCGGGGAATTGTTAGAGGAGAAAGAGAAAAATAAAAAATCGGATATTCATATTTTTCTTCGTCATCGCCTTCGATTTTCTTCTTTTATTATTATCTTACCGATTCGTGCAGATCGACGTGCCTTGGGACTTGACCATTGTTCATTTGGATCATCAGTTGCCATAAGATCAGTTGCAGAGATTCTTGCAGGAACACCAGTTATCGATTTGCGAGCAGAATAGAAAGCGACTGTGTGAAGATTGTTATTGTTATATGTGCTATGTTTGCGACAAGAAAATTGTTCTTTCTGTTCTTTTTCTTTTTCTTTTCCTTTCTCTTTTCCTTTCTTTTGCTGTCGATACTTTTTTATCGATTGAGGACGTTTATAAGAGCATGATCGTGCTAATGGTTCTAACTGTTCGGCTTGAGAATTTGATGTTTGAAGAAGTGTTTGTGCAGCATGAGTTAGAAAAAAAGTCTTTCGCTTCGTTTGTGCTGAATTAGATGATGTTGTTGAATTTGAATGTTGACTTTTTGTTGATGATATCGTCGAATTCCGACGATCATCATACGGTTTAACTGAATGAGAAGATAACGTTAGGTGTGGCTGAGATTTTGCATAGTCATGTGGTAAACTATCGGTAAACATTTGAAATGGAACAGTGGAAGGTGAGCATGAACTGTAACAGCGAGGATGGGATGCGGGTAAAGGTGAAGCATTTGAACGTGCAAATAATGCATCAAAATGTTCGGTATCTGTATTGATTGGCTGTTTGACTTTTATATCACCTTCTAGATCAGGTCTCCAATGAATTGCTGCTCTTGAATTTCTAGGAGATATATCATCTTCAAGTATTCTCTCTTTTATCAGCCCATTATCTTCGTTTTCATTCGACTGTGGATGATGATGCGTTTCGTACATTCTAAATGATAAAAATATGATAAATAACTATAAGACGTGTTTTTTCTGTGAATGTCAAATATGACATTATTGATTATTATCATTTCGTAAATACAACTATGTTGTCATATCAAAGTCAAATACTATGTACCTTGTTTTAAGAACCATAATAGGAAAATAAAAATAAAAACATTTTTGATAGAATTTTCGCACCGGCTGATTCTATCCAAGCAACAAGCGGAAACTCTGTGGTCATATTCATCATTAATGTTCAATCCTATATTTGTTAGGCTCTAATATGTATAAAACGAAAGAGACAAGCAGTGACACTGATGTTATGTGATAGAATGATGAAAAACATGATTTTCATGCAAATCGAACTCCTACCTTCTGCTATCCGGGCAGTTGTCCTAAGTCAATTAGACTAGAAGGCGCAACTTAATCATCGTTTAGCGTTAGTATGATCCAACACTAACGCTAACCATATTTACGTGTAAATCAACCATTTCCAAGGCTTTAGTGCAGCAAAGGCAATCGATCATTTTTAGCGCCTTGCCTAATTACTCCATTATATTGTTCTAATTCTTCTGATGAATATTTTATAGATAATTTACATATTTCAATTGTTTTTTCGCCATCACCTACTTAAGCTATTTTATAGTTTTCTTTCTTCTTTGTTTTGTAACGTTTCATGTCACATTTAACAAAGAAAATTAACAGAGACAATTACGCGAGTCGATGCATTACTTGAACGTCGTAAGACACATCAAATTGAACTAACATCAGAAAATCAATGACAAGAAAAAATAAAATTAGATATTTTCATGAGCCATAAATAGAAATAAAAAGGTATAACAAATAGTAAGCAATTTGGCTTTTTTCTTCTTCTCTTTTTGCATAAATCTCAACGAAGACAACGAGTGCTCTTATTGAAAATGGCAGGATATTTACATAGATTTATGTATCTTTTTAAATCTCTTAACAACATCAAAGTCAATAAATCTACTGTACGAGTTCTTCAAGTAGATGAGTTTACTCAAAAATCAAGGCAATTCTTAATAGATTTGAACCGTTTTTCTTTCCAATTGAATTTAATGCGGCAACGTAAACGGAATGATCATAGGTAAAAATCATAAACATTTTAGTTTTACGTCGAGTTAACTTCCTGTTTATGTCATTGATGTCTGATGAATTTTCTAACATAGTCAGAAAGAAGAAAACAAAAAGTAAAAAATAAAAAAATCCGAATAAACTCATTATATGATTAGCTATATATTTCTTATACTATCACAACCTATGAATAAGAACGACCAAAAGAACAAGATGAAGAGAAAAAAATAGCACAATGTTTACCTGCGAAATTGAACTTTTTTTCGTCGAGTAGATTGCCGGCGAAGTACAGAAGTCAATGATATTTCTGCTTTTATCATAATGCAAAATGTTCTTAAATCTCGTTTTTTTATTTTAAATTCTCGCCGCTATTAAAAATCGATCTAAATGACATATCCAACGTCATTAGTCTATTGTCTTGCCGATTAAATGCACACAGCGGGTCAATCGACCTAGATGTTCGTTCAATGGCAACAATGGAAATGAGAGCATTATAGACATTCACATACTTAACAGACGAATAGAAAACAATCTGTCTCGTTGTTGAATATGTTTTTCCTAAAGAGTTCTGACTTTATCATATGCGCACATTAAAGCTCAAACGAGAGAAAGAGAGATGAGCACGGAAGAGAATCGACACAAGGGGAAAGATTGAGAAGTACTGACAGATACTGACGTTTCTTTGGGTGACATTGCTAGAAAAAGAAATAGAAAAAAAAGGAGAAGGGGAAAAATATAGATCGACCAACCAGCCATCCAAGAAAACTCTTCTCAAAATAGGTGTGATAGGAAATGTTCGAAACACGCAATATCACATTCTTATTCCTCATGACATTCATTTAGTAAGGCTAATTCTACGATTAGCGTGATTACAATACTATGAATTTTCTTCCTATTGATCTTCATTGGTGAATTTAACAAATCTCTCTCTTATCTACATCTGATCGAAATAGCAACATAGAATCCACATTAGTATGTATATAGTAATTATTACACACGAACAAATTTCTCTTTATCTGCAGAAATAAAAGTTTCTGGCTCTTGACACCTTTGTTCTTGTCGCAAGTCGAATGAGTTTCATCAAAGAAAAACTATTTATATTTCTTTGTAGCTGGTTAATTATATAAATATCTTTCTATTTTAGAAATAACCCCTCTTGATATACAATAGTATAAATGTTTTCATCTATTTGTTCTATAGACAGACATTACACACTTGAAATAATAGCATGTTATCTATGTTGTCGAGAATATGAAAAATAGAAACAGTAATAAATAATCTCACAATCAAATTAAAGACAGCTTGTGATTCTATCTGCAAATAAGTAAAAAGCACGAGCATGTCATTTGTCTTCATCAATAAATTTAATAATTTTTTCATTAGATTCGAATCGTCTTCTTCTTTTTTAATATTCTAGAATTTCATGAAATCATATTTTGCCAACTTCACTTTTGATCAATCTCTTGATTAACAGTAATATTGTTGTTGGTCTTTTAATCATCAATACACGACATTAAACTTCTCAAATGTTTGACAGTTTTACAATTCCTATGAGATACCAATGTGAAATATAATCTTGAACACAATCAAAGCTAAATTCATCTGGGATATTAAAAGACTAATTATTTTCTTCGATGACGAAAACTAACAACTTCTCTAATTATAGCATATTAAAAACCTCTCAAAGTGATTCAACCTATTTGACGTCATAGCAGTCTTACAGTGGCGCGTTCCTGTTGTCTTTTGCATTATTCAAATAGTATTTCTTGCTCGTGTGATTTCTCTATAAGGCTACGATAGTTTTGTTAGCCTTTTTACTAAACCGCGGCTCATTGGCATGAAAATTGAATAGTATATGTTCTTTCCGAGAAAATTCTTCTTCCGAAAGAATATTTTTGAGTGTTTTAGTCAAACCAACAGTTATTTCTTTTCTTTTTTTGCTCATAGATTATTCAGTATAATTACTAGCTAAGGTCAAGTTTAAGAACGCCTAAGTATCTCAAATAGTAATTATTTTTATGGAAACTCAATTTATGTTTTTTTCTTGTTTTGATACATCAATGTAAGATGGAATTCTGACAATAAAAATATCTTTCTGATCGATCGAGAATTCATTCGTTCAATATGAATATAAAAAAAGACATTTCATCTCAGTGTGTATTTCAATAAATTCTCGCACGAAAGAGTGTTTCCTTTGACATGATTTATAGCTAATGAGTTCTATGCGATCATCTGTTGAAGCACTGCGGGTGTCTCACGTATGCTTGATCATGTATGAAACTAAATGAGTGATAACCGTATCCGTTTCTATTTTCTTAATGTAGATTTTATCGTTAGAAAGAGAGCGAGAGAAAACATGAACACCCAAGGGAAAGTTCTAAGTCAAATAATGAACCCATCGAACAGCGTACAAGATCTTAATTCATTTTTTTCCTGTAAAGAAATAACCAATTGTTTTGCTCTCGAATCTAATATTCCAAATCATACTCGAAAAGTATTAGATTTTTTATGAATGTCCGCCGGGTATGTATGATAGCGTCATTGACTCGAATCGTTTCGCTCGATATAGTTTGTATTGTACGAATAGAAAGATTCATTTTTATTTTCAATACTTTGATCTGATAACAATATTTCATGGAGCATAGCTACTCCTATGTAACAATTTACGCAAGAGGAAAATACTTTATTTTCTATCTGATTTACTTGATAAACGATGTCAATACATAGATTTTTGGTAGGCTGACGATTACACGATAAGCAACTGTTTAATTTATCAATTCTATCCGCGGTATTTTGTTTCTTATTTTTCATTTATCTCAACGCGCTCTCATATCGCTTGTATGAGTCATAGAGTAATTAATGTATCGTGTTGAAGTGATACTTTAATATTAACAGGGAATAAAATATTTCGTTGATTATGACAATAATGTTACATCATCAAATAAATACTTATGTATCCGAGTTTTACACTTTAAAATTTTAGTAGAATCGATTAATATCTAATTTTTTTTGTCATCATTTCTTTATTAATTCAAGTTTTAATAATTGATACTCGTCACTATGAAACAGACAATGATTATACATAAATTACGAAGTTTCTTTTATATTAGCTTATTTATCTTTTTTAACGAAGAACGATTGCAGATAATAACACGTCAATTGGACTACTCATATAAGAAACTTTTTTATTAATTTCATTAAAAATTTTAAAAAAAACATTTCCTTTCCTTTCATATCATTCGATATAAAAACTCGTTCCATTCCCATCCCCCCACCTGCTCGAGACCCGTACTTCGAAATAACGATAGTGAAAATCTCTTTCTTTCTTTCTTTCTTTTCTTCTAATACAGAAAGAAAAAAAACTCAATGTTCCAATGTCCCGAGGATTAAAACATAAACATCTATTCAGAATTTCCAATCTCAACTAGATTCTGAACTCTACTGCCATATATGTTTAAGTACAAATTTCTAATAATGAAATATGTGTTGTTAAAAAAATTAATTTTTACACCGTCATGTACTTTCAATTATTGACGACGTGCTAAATAACAATTTATCAATTTCTGTTCGACTAAAGTGCCAGTTATTCTATTAAGAAATATGAGTTTACGGAAAGAAAATACCTCCGCTAGTGAACGGTGTGAAATTCTGATTATGTGCCACACATACGTATTATCACCATGCAACTGTGGACTTATAATACTAAAAGAATAATGTCGTTTTTTGATTTCCGGACATTTTTTGTTATTTTGTTTTTAGTTTCTTTAAAGAATTTTCCTCCAAAAAAATGTAGATATTTCAATTAGTGTGTTGTTCTTTATCTATTGAAATATAAGAGCTATTCGTGTTCTATACTATTAGTAATATAATCGATTGAAAGTCATACGTCGAAGAACATATCCAGTTTTCCGCCAGAAAAAAATGAACTTACATAAACACAAAATGGCGTCGTAATGTTTTTAATCAATCAACAACATATTGACACAATGCCGAAAAATACTAAAATAACCCATGGAAATACGCATTTAGGCGCGCATCAGTTTACTCTCTCACCCTAAATATTAAATCACTTTATCGCTAAACTACGACCTTTAACATGGCTTGCCAGAGATTAGATACATATCCGGACAAAAGATTTTATTAACATCCGTTATCCTTGAGCTATTCGCTCATTCTTTTTTTTCCATAGCTTTTTATTCATTATTTTTTCTCCCAAGGCCATACCAAAAAAAAAAGAATTTCATAGATTCAAGTCTGCTAAACGGCTTTTTTACTAATTAGGCTATTAGTTGTTAACAACTTGGCAGCAATATGTTATTTCGTTTTTTCATTATAAAATCTAGCATCTATTTTATGACTGTTACACTATCAGTATACTTAGTAGTTTTTTTAATTCTTTTTGTGACACTGTTGGTTATTTCCGCTATTAACTAATGTGTTGCATTTGCTGATTTACAAACCAAATCTTACTGTTGATTTTATGAAAATAAGGACACAATTATTTTTTCCATTGTCTTAACGAGTTTCTGTATGCGTAAGAAGATGAAACATACCATTGAGAATAATTCTGCTGTTATTTGAATTGATTGTGCTTGAATTATTTTCATGCATGCTTGCCTATTACATCTCAAAATGAATCCTATCTTGTTAAGCTTGTTTCTGCTGTCATTAGATAGAAAAGAAAAACCGAATAAGTCCACATTGTCAATTATATTACGTAGTATTTCTCTTGTGATTCAGCGTGATACTTTTTCCTAGCGGGTTCTATATACATATATAGATTTCGTTACTGATAAAATCATCGGCGTAAATTTATTTCAAGATCAATTCTTCATATGATGAAGAAGGCAAAAATAAGAGGTCCTCTAAGATTAAATCGAAAACAGAATCAAAAAGTCTACAGTTCAGTGGTCGCCTCAGAGAATCTAGTCTTACTCTCACTTGAATGATAAATATGTTTATTGTTGATGTTGTGTTTCCTCAATAAGAGTCGATTGATCAGCGAGAGCTTTTTTCTATTGCAGTTTTTTCCTATCAACATCCTCCGAGATTATTCGACATTCTTTATTAAGCAAAAACTAATATTGATATCTCTTAGAAAATTATTTTACAATGACCATATGCTATCCTATTGATAAAGATACTGTGCGCTAGCAGGCGTGAAACATTAATTTTTTGAATAAATATTCCTATGATATAACACTTACGCTTCTGTCATGTTCGCCGTTGTGTTGACGAATCTAATGGAATAATGTTATGTTGTCGTTGTCTGTTTAGAGATGATGCTGATATAGTGTGAAAGTGTAAGCTGTCTGCTTAGTGACAAAAATTTTCAACCTTTTGTCTTCAAGACGAGCACACAAGCAAGAAAATCGAGAGAAACAGAGAGCAGGAAAAAAAAGAAGAGAAAAAAAAAGAGAAGAAAAGATGTGAATACAACCATGATGATAGGGAACGGAAGAAAAGCCAAAAAAAACGATTTCTAACCGTCTAACGATTCTTTTTTTGCTTTCATTCTCATATCACTGTTCTATATTAACTAGTAGTTGCTAGACATGTTCATCGCAGAATGCATTCACTATCGAGAAAGCGATAGATCGCATGTTCAGTTCAGTTTCTAATGAGAAAATTGTTGCGGGAGGTTATGCATTGAAGAGGACGTTTATTTTTCTTTTATTCTCGAACACAATAGATTATATTGATATATTTATTTATTATCGTTCAACTGATCAATCATCATTGATCTATTTGTCACTGTAACTAAATTAGTATAAGATTATTCATTTTGTTGGCGCCCATATGAATAACATCTATTCACTACAAGATTAAATGTGAAGAAATAGCTTATCGATAAAAAAACAAATCGATAATGTTGTATGACTTTTTCGAAGGTCTGTTGTCGTCATTAAGTTACTACTGTTTGACCTTTGTTTTTGTTTATTTTTCTCATGAATCATACCGTACAAAAAGTAAAAGTTGACACTGATGTTTCCTACGGATTTTGTTTTCATTGAAAATTGTACAATTTAATCACCTACTTAATTATAGAGTATCTCGAGTAGAAAGTATTCAACGATGCAGATTTAAAGCCTATTGTTTATAGGTCTATGAAATTGCAATAGTAGATGTTATAAATATGAAAAAAACAAATCATACTGCGGATGCATTAAAAATATATGCTTATATATCAAACCAAAGGAAATCCTTTTGTTTTCTTTATAGGACACGTCAGCAATCTAATGTATACATTAAATGCAAATATTTCTTCTTATTGTTTTTTCGAGATAAAAAAAAATTTTTTTTCCCAATGCCATCGACAAACTTTGAAGCACCGACGAAGGAATACTGCTTGATTAATCATATTGAGTCATTTTCTCAAGTTCAGAATGTTTATTTTATGATATGATGTCACCAACTGTGCTCATTTTAATTAGTTGAATTCTATGAATATATAATTTAAGGTCAAATATTATTTTACCATAAATATCAACATTCATAAAAGGTATATCAAAGTGATGTCCCGGTATACTAAAAATGATTGCAAAATTGCTTTTTCAAAAAGAAAAAAAACACATCGTGACATCTTAAGAATCGATCAAAGAGAGTAAGTACACAAGATTAATTGCAAGACTAAATCAGGTTAATCAGAATGTAAATGTCATGGAACAAAGATGAGAAAAGCACTTCTTGACAATAATTATTCTATGATCACCAGGAAGACGTATTGATAACGATCGTTTTCTCATAATACGGAAACTTAGATGCAACATATGTCGTTTAGTTTTCAACCTTGGAAATCAATCAATTCAAGGTAAGATCGAGCAAAACAACATTTTATAAGTCTTTCTTCTTAAATTATGATCACTTAAGTTGTCAATTCTTGACTTTAAAACTTCCGCAATGATACTGAGAGTTGAATTATAACAGCGGTTTATGAGATTCAGGCGAAAAATAATTACTTTGTTCATTGAACAAAAAGAAAAAATCTTATGCTCTCATTCATAGGTTTCACAGAAATGATGAATTTTTATCTTGCCATCAGAATAATTAGACGGCGACCGTTTTTTCTTCGTTTCGTTTGATATTGAACATCGAAATTAAAAAGATACAAGTTTATCATAGTAGATGTCGCTTATGTGATAGATACTGATTGGTTTGTCACAAATGCTAGTATTTACGATTCTTACATCCCCTTACAAAGATTTTCTACTAGAATTATCGAGAAAACTTCTTCTATGACTCATTGACATAAACAATATTATGAGTAATGATAATGTGAGTGCATTCATTGGGAGTTATTCTTTCTTGTATCTTATTTATTTATTCGTCTTTTTCTGAACTTGGATCGAATAATAATGCATGATTTTCAATCTCTTCAATTAGACGACGAAGACTCGTCTAAATATTTTATTAATTATATCAGTGAGCATTCCGATGGCCTTGGAGATGATAATAGCAATGAAAATGAACATGAACATGAACATGTTCAGTCACCAGATAATCATGATGATGTTGATGAATCTTCATTACCGAATAGTGTCATTATAACGCCAGTACCTCAAGAATTATTTACTAATCAAGAATTTAAAGTAAACATTTCTTTGTTCTAGTCTTTCTCTATATGTTTTTGTTGTTGTTGTTGTTGTTGTTGTAAAGGATGAATTTGAACAATTATTTCGTATTTATGATTCTCAAATCGTTGTACTCTATCTGAAATTTTTCCAACGTGTACGTATTACATTTACATCATCACATAATGCATTACAAGCTCGATTACATCTTCATGAACATCCATTTCATGGTACCGTATTTAAAACTTATTTTGCATGTGTAAGTTCATTCTATGGTTATTTTGGTAAATAATTTTTTGTTTTTGTTTTGTGACAGCCAATTGTATTTCGTGGTGCAAATCCTGATACACATTTACGACCACCGGAACCTGAAAAACTGTTTCTTATCTCACCTCCACCAAGTCCACCTGTCGGTTGGGAACAAAAAGCCGAAGATCCACCTGTTGTTGATTTACACCTAATAGCAGCTATTGCACAATTGCAACCTAGTATGTCAAAATGTTCACCTAAATTCAGTTTGTAAATTTTTTTCTTTTCAAGATATACCTCATGAATTATTATCGAGTGAACTTGGTTCAAAAGCTCCAGCCATTGTTATTCATACATGTGATGATAATGCTGAAACGAATTATATAGGCGGTGGAAAGCTCATTAGGCCAACACTTATACAAACGCGACGGCCACCACAGACAGATGAACAGAATTGATTATTCTCACGCCGTTAGTTTCCTTTTTTGTTTGTATAAAGTCAAGCGTCTTTCTATATATAATCTCCCAATAAATTTCATATTTATTATTAATTTTGAATTTCTATGACATTAAACACTAAATTCCAATGTTTTTAGTGGTACTGCCAAGGGGGAACAAACTGATTTCTTGATTTCCAGTGATTTTTATGCCTGGAAATCAGTTTGTTTCCCCTTGGGTGCTGATAATAATAATAAGATAAACATTGTTATAGAAATACAAGAGAGGTCTATGAATATTTTTTATATTCATTCATGTCGCGTTCGTTTCATGCTGAAAGATGCAAGGAGGAGAATATCATTTCGGCATGCTCATTTGCTGCAAGTTTCTATCAATTTGAAGGGTGTTATTTATATATTATGCTAAGTGTCTTTTCATGTTACTTAACTGACGTTGCTAATCAATTAAATACAGTCCTCGCAGAGAATTAATTCTAGGATATGTGTGTTCAGTTTTTATATAACAGATTATACAGGATTAGCATGGAGACACAACACATCCGTATTAACAACGACATGGCAAGAGGTTTCGAATCATATTTGCTTTATCACTTAAGAAATTGTGTCAGTACTTGAATATTAATATAACATTTGGAAATAGGAAACATATATTTCGACTGATTTATTTGTAATTATACAATTAAGGAAAATTGCAATGATATCTAAATAATAAATTTTCATAGACGCTGTTATATTCCTTTTTAAGAGTTTATTTTATTTATATTTCATATAATAATATAACATAAGGCAGTGAGTACCTATATCAAGCATAGCATTAACACGAATATGTATGAGTGAATTGGAACTTTTTGGTACAGTTGACGAAAAAACTCGAAAAAGTAACCCTAAACAACTTTTGAGTAGTACATTTTATTATACTCTATGCCTATAGTATACGACGTATCTTCTCATTTGCGAAGATAAAATCGAAAATAAAAATGTTTTTCTTAGTTTGAAACTTCAATTCGGAAAACATTTCAAGCCTCAAATTTTCGCTTTTGAAAAATTAAGTCGAAGATTAATGCTCATCTTTGTAATGCTATATATTCATTATTCATGAGAGAATTAGATTATTATTAATCTTCATATCCCCATATTTCTAGAAATCAACTGAACTATGTCTTGATAATAAATGTTCGTCATTAACAAGCTATATGTTCTACGTATTCAATTGAATCTTTTAAAGCAATGAACTCTATATTTTGAAAAAAACATGTCATTAAGAAAGCGAACTAATTTTCTTCATGTTCGCAAATGAGAAGTAGCCCTTCTAATTTATTGTTTATTGATGATAATGAACTTAATTTATCTGTCTTTAGAACCTTGCCATTTTCTAAAGGTTATAGCTTTTCATTGAAGTCGATTTACATTGATTGAAAACTACGCATTATCCGAATTCAAGTACATACAAAATATGGATAAGATGGAAAAAATTCATTTGAAATGTAGAGTGCTTTTACTCTGAACGCACAGCAGAGATTTGGTCTTTAGGTTTTGAAAAACATTTTTTTCTTGAGCAAAGTGATTATATCTTTTTGATGATTAATTTAACTCCTACTAATTTTTGTAAGAATCCTCTGATCAATCACTGAAAGTCTTGCTTTCATCTAACCTTTGGGAGCCTCACTAATCGACGATCTTGCCCTATTCTTTCCAGGTTCTTGTTTTTCTTTACTTTCAGACAAGATTCCTGTATTCAGACAAGATTCTTTTCGACAGGAAAGTAAAAAGAATCTTGTCTGGA